ATCTTAATTTAGCTAATTTTCTATACTAGGCCCCCATTCTAGATATTCAGCGGTAACCTTGATATCCCTAATCTTACCTTATATTCCGACGACTAATCCCATATATACGAAACTTTCGATAGCTAACGAACTACTACTTCCGTACCTAGGTCTAAATTTATTACACTATTTCGACTCCTCTTACTCTTAAACGTAGTAGGCATTTATGATAATAAACTTTAGGTAATTAGGTCCGAAATTGAAAAATATAAGTTTATCTATTAGTAGGTATATATATAAGCGGATAAGATATAGATCGGTTATATATCCCCTACCAAAAGTTCCTTCCCACTCCACCTTTTCGGGTGTTATGTAAAATATATATATCACTTACACTGTATATAGCACCACCATTTTATAGACTAATGCTATAGTTAAATTTCAGGGTTGCTTAATAATAACACAATGAAATTTTTACTTAATATTTTGTATAATACCCCTTAGCCTTAGTACTGCCTTTAGACGTCTTCCTATGCTTAATATTAGCGTATCTATCTTTGACTGAGCTAATACATTCTATGCTTCTACTAGGAATTTTTTAAAATAAAGCTAGTCTGCTTCCGACCCTCCTTAGTCAATAAGCCCCAGAAATAATATAAAAAGCTTCACTTTTAACTAGCGCTATACATATTTAATTAGGGTCAAATCGGGTGAGTGCGTAGGCTAATCCTCGACGTATACTCCGTGAGTTTTAAACCACTCTTTTATATCCTTCGCTAGATAAATCCTCGCGTTACCTTGCTGAAATACTAAATTAGGGGTGTAGATTAGCATTAGACCTTTTTTAAGCGTCGAAATATACGATTTTGAAGTATAACCCCTCCCCGAAGGCGATCCCTCGTCCCGTTCCATAATAATTAATTCTGTCCGACTACCTAGCCAGATTCTAGCCCAAACCATTTGCGAAATATCTTTAACGTAAGCCTTAGCATTTATAAGATATTTTTAAAGGCCCTCCGAGGTCGTACGAAAGCACTATTGTAGTCTAAAGTTCGAGGTTCGTTACACCGAACACTCGTCCGAGAAGATCCACAATTAGAAGCTCTCGCGTCTCTATTTTCGCGCAAATTTTAGCCTCTTCTTTATATGAGGAGGCTTAATTAGTATATTTAGTTTCGAACGCCGTTTCCGAGTCCGAATCTCTTTAAAATTCGACGTATAGTAGATAGAGGGTGACAGATACGAATCTCTAGTAGCACTTAGCTATTTATAGATCTAAAACGGATACCGACGTGCTTATAAATAGAAGTAAGAGCAAGCGCGCTCACTAATAATGACGGAACGGCCGCTTTTTCCTCGATTTTCGAGGGTATCTTCTTCGTGGTAGCGCTTAAGCTTATTATAGATTGTCTTACGAGAACAGCCGAAATCATTAGCTAATTTCACCTACGAGATACCGCTCTTATAAGCAGATACAATAGCTAACCTTCGTATAGTAGTAAGCTACGCCGTTTTGCTATTTTTGTATCAATTCTTATTACAATCGGAGCAATAGGGGAGGCGTAGGAAGAAAAATAAAAAGGTGAGTTGGTTGCCGCGTCAAATTGTAGTGGGGCAGTGGGTAAGAACATATGACTAGTGTCTGTATTAAGATATAAAGCGTACCTTAATAGCTTAGGATAATTTCGACTAAGTAGTATATTTCTCTTGTTAATAAATCGAAGGTTCTATGTCGGAAGTATAGAAAATCACTTCATATCCTTAATGAACTATAAATAAACTAATTATATAAAAGCGTTATATAACCGCAGGCTAATATTAGCGTATCGCTAAAGATAAATTAAGAAATCTAAGAACCTTTAAAATTAGTGGTATAAAAACTATATATTATTTACTTCTTCTAAACCACTACTAAAATCTTATCTCTATTAATAGGCTTAATCTATGTATCTTTCATATAGCTTAGTAGGAATGTAAGTAAGTTATATTAATTATGAAGTCCTCTCTTCCGTTCTAATTCCTCGCGTATTAGGACTTTAAGGATTTAATTATATAAGGCCTAGCTTTCCCCTTTAAAGCTAGTGTTACTTTATCTAGAACTATATATTGTCGGCTTTGAATAATAGTAAAGAAGGACTAATAAAGGGTTTTATTGGATCTACCTAGTAGTATAAAGCTCTTAATTACGTTTATATACTAGATCTTACTATTCCAATAGGCCTTTATACCTATTACTAGATATTTTTTCAACCCTTCTAGGATTTAAGCCACTATAAGGAATATAGTGTAGTGCTAACCTCAATATTATAGTGTCTATAATAATCGAAAAATATAGTATTATTGATCAGGTATTAATAGTTATAACTAATAATATATTAAATAATACTACTATAGTATTTAATTTAACGTACGCGGTCTTCTTAGTTTACTAAGGGTAGACCTAAAAAATAGCAATACTAACCGCTAGTAGTTAGAAGATTAAAAGAAATCACTATAGGTTATCTAAAAATAGTCAGAAATTCTATGCGCTTTTAGAAGGTAAGTTCGAATTAAATTACTTATTATAATACTATCTAATAATATTATATATATATTTATAGCCTTACTATCTTTATTAACGCTAGTCCTTAACGCCGTAATATATTTCTTAACCAGTTAAATAGAAGAACCGAAGCTTAGTCTAATCTAGGATATACGAACTCGCTAGAACCCGTTATTTCTTATATTAAGACGAGTAAAGCGTCTTATATTAATCCCCAATAGATAATATATTAAGTAAAGCTAGCCTCTATTTAAATTAGATTTAGAAAACTAGAGATATAGCGATATATCGATCACCTTATCTAAATTATATAGATATTCTATAACTAAGCTACGTGTCAGTTAAAGAGAAGGATATTATAATCTATAATATCTTTAAGATATATAACGTGCTCTTTAATTATTTTTTAAGTCTCTTCGTTGGCTTAAATAGAATAGGGTAGCTTAGAAGTAAGTAATACTTTAATTTAAGCCTTTTAAATAGGAAAGAAAGGTGAAGTTATCTATCCATTATAGTAAGATAGTACTCAGTAAGTCTAAAGCTATTTATTCGCGATAAGGATAATTATTGATAGGTAGGGAAGAAGTAATATTGGTAATATTATTAGTCAAGAAATAGATAGGGGAGAAGAGAAGTTTCGAACCTCTAAGGAATATCCAACTACGTTTAGGACTATCAGGGGTCACATAGTCACCTAGGTTTTGTGATATTAACAATACTTTTTATACTAGAATATAAGCTAGAGTTCTTAGATAAAGACTAGGCTAATAATAACTACAAATAGCGTTAGAAGTATAAAGAATCTCTATAGCGCTACCTTATTCATTATTACTGATAGTCAATATTACCTACCACCCTCACTATCTATAAGACCACATAGCAGTCTCTAGGTTTAGGTGGGTAAGTGAGGTAGAAGCCCTAGTTATGCGTGTAATACAACATGGTCTGATTGTATTATGAGACTGAACGCTAGTCCTTCCTAAAACCAGCGATAATTGCTTATATACAGACTGGCCTATTCGGGGCCGTGATTACCTTGATCATCCTTCTACCGTGTGTCCTAAGGCATCTATTTATGCCCTAGGCTAGTTAACATCCGTTAGTTAGTCAATGGTCTTAACACTATAAAATACGTTAACGAGCTATGTATTTTAGTGCTCTATTTAACAAGCATCGACCCTAGCGTATTTAGTCCTAGAAAGCTAGTTTTAAAGGTAAGCTTATTTAGTCTAACCTTTAACATATGATAATAGAGAGATATTAATATTGGTAAGAACGCTAATAGTTAATTATTAGCGTTCTTACCAATATTAATTTTCTAACCCTTACTAGGCTAGTATAGGATATTTTCCTAATTACTATAAAAGGCGCTAGTACCAAGCGTCTTTTTAACTCTACCTACAATATATACTACTATCGACGCAGCTCCCTTTAACCCTCGATAATTTGAGACATTATAATATTTTGCCATATCTCGAACTTCGAGATTAACTAAGACGAGATCACTTAAGGTGATAGAGTCTATACTTAGGAAGAGATAACTAGCGAGACCTAACTAATTGCTTGGATCCTAGGTTAGCACGCCATTAGAAAGAGATAGAAAAGTACTATATTTCTATTAGATATTAATAATAACAACAAGATCCTATTACCGTTAATATAGGATGGAAATAATACGTAACTACGTACAGTAATAAGAAATTGCTGTTAGAAGTGCTAAGGCTAGAGGATAATGACATTATTTCGTATTAGTTATAAAATAATAATATAAATAAATAAATATTACTTCTACCGAATCTAGATATTATAACTAACATTTATTTATAGGCGGATATTATAAATGAATACTGTAAAAAACCACTATAAACTACATAATTAATATCGGGACATTTGTATTGTTTATAGTCCTATAGCGGGAGTCCTACGGGAAGTTTCAAGGCCTACTACCCGTATATCACCTCTATAGACCTATTGCGAGGTTTTATAAGACTAAACGCTACCCCTTAAGAGGGAGCAGCGGGAGTAGCTAATATATATACGAGAACTCCGTATGTAGTAGGCTTACCCAAGATGATCCTTAGGCTCTACGGTCTCCGACTTATCCAACCAAACTTAAGGGTCTTAACATCCACCGACTCCAATTTCACTCACTTTGCATCCCTGGAACAGAAGCAATACCTTCAGCATTAAACCGCTCACATACATAAATATATACTACCATCTAAAAGCTTTAAAGTGCTTGTAGCTTATATCCAAAGCCTTCAGATGTGGAATTACTGCAAAGGTACGGTGATTGAAGGTGATTGAAGGGGATTGCTGCCTACTATATAATTTCACGAAAGACATGAATTTGAAATAGGCAAATGTTCGGTCTACAAATATAAAAAATTCGAGGTGCAGTCAAGACCCTCAGAAGAACATGTATACCACGAGAGGCTGTCTCAAATCATGTCCTTGGGCCAACATGCATCTGCGGTAGCTATGGCCTATTTTGCGCTAGGCCGGAAAGGTAGACCTTGGTGTTCTCGTACACCAAAAAGGTCACCCATGTGCTTGGAAGCACGCGAAACAAGTTCGGACCAAGACCCTTGTAAAACCCTGCAGCCCCTTCACGAGTCCATATCTGGGAAATAACATCAATCGCCCCACGGTAAATCCGATGCGCCTCATAAGTCTGCAAGCGGGACCTTATGACTTGATATGGATAGGTAACACTACCTGCGAAGACCTTAGACAAACTGGAAATCGCGAAAAAGTCAAAATTGCCCAATGCCCGCTCGGCGCCTCGGCCGCCATCGAAAGAGACTTCGGTGTTCATCGTCCCGGACCGGATGAGTTTCAACTGCTCGTAAGCCATGAACTGAAGGGCACCATGACTGACACCAAACAGCGCCGGAACAAGGCCACGGTAGAAGCCAGGTATGCCCTCCGTACGGTAGATTTGTTTTATACCCGACGTGAGTGACGAGTACGCCCCGGGCACATGAGAGCCGGTTGACAACATGCGAGTTTTGATCACCCAGATTGGGTTGGTCAGGATCGCCGTAATAGCGCCTTTATGCGGCCACAAGTCAGTGTATAAGAGCTAGATTCCGGTCCAAACATCTCAGGCATACCTGCACTTCCAGACGCCAGAAAATAATCGGACGATGCAAGCATATGATTCCTTCTCTGGCGATATATTCGAAGAGCGTCCTTCAAGCTGCTATAGCAGAAGAAGTACAGAGCCCAGCTTGTAGAGTTCCCAACCAGATTCGGGGCCAATCCCCGATAAAAAGCGGCAAAGCCACCTTCATGATGGGAGATCTCACGGATGATTCGTAGAGAACTGCCGAGCCGGGACGATGACGATCGATCAACTAGAGAAGTCCAATTTAGTCTCACCATACAATCCCAAGGGAAAACAAGAGCTTACCTTGCAATCTTGTCTTGACCAGGTCAAGGGGGTGCAACGAAAGCGTTGACACAATTCCTGCTGTGAATCCAGCTAAAGTCTCCACAACGGATGACGAGAAGCCATGGCTAGTCATGAACCTGAGAAAGGGAAGAGTGATGGGATGAGGTGGAAGTGGATGGAGAGGGAAGCCCGTGACCTCGGGAGTCGAGAGTCACCTACGAGAAAACGTCTTAACGGTATGAATCAATTGAACATAGATCACCCGACCCGATTTAAAAATACAAATGGCCTTTATTGAAGCCCAACGTTCCTCCAAATGGTAACCTGGCCGTTTCCTCTATTCATCTAACCTAGGCAAGCGGCGAGAACAGTCTGATCAGTTAGTACGGGTCGAAATGCAGGCTGGAGTTGAGATACCTGAACAGGGTCGGCTTGGGGTCGCTATAGGTGTAGCCTGTCATCAAGTCAGTCTCCATCACATACACACTAAAGTCTTATGTATACGTACCCAGATAGACAATTAGAGGCAAGTATCCGCTGGAAGGTATCGGTCAGCTCAGGGAATGATTCGAGAACTTCTCAGAGGCTCACTAATGAATTGCAACGCGAGAAATATCGATGACCTTTGAGACACGCTCCTGCAAAAGAAAAAGATGGGCTTAGTCGTCCCAGTGGAAGGGTCGGATTCGCGACCTACCTTGGTCTCTTCGGAGAATTGAACCATTGTGATTGTGGTTGTGATGGTGATTAAAAGAGGTAGTTGGGTTTTCAAGAGATAAAAGACCTGAAGAGCAACACAGGTCGAAGCTGGATGAAGATAATGGTGAAAGAGAGAGTGATGCGGGTGAATCAAAAGTTTTCGGAAGTCGGGGCCAAAGTCAGTGATCGTCCCAGAGCTTCTTTCTTCTTCACTTAACACTTGTCCCCTGCAACTTTATAACCACTTTAAGTGCCAATTTTGCTTACAATACAAGCTGCTGAGTCCGCCCGATAGTCCTTCCTTTTTGTCACTGGGCTGCCTGCGTTCTAGCTGAGATCCGCTGCCATGTCCGGCGCAAGGCATTGGTAAGGCCCTTTCTCACCTTATCCACCAGCAGGAGATATGATGCTAACTAGACCCAGGGAGCAAGACAAAGAGGCCACCGTTTATATCGGAAACCTCGATGAGCGGGCCTCAGATAGCCTCGTATGGGAATTGATGTTGCAGGCCGGGCGCATCGTGAACGTCCATCTGCCGAAAGACCGGGTTACGCAGTTACACCAGGGGTATGGATTCGTTGAGTTTATCAGCGAGGAAGATGCCGAATATGCATCGAGAATCATGAATGGAATTCGCGTCTACGGAAAACCTATTCGTGTGAACAAGGCATCGGCCGACAAACAAAAGACCGTAGAAATTGGCGCAGAGCTTTTTGTTGGCAATCTCGATCCCATGGTCACTGAACAGGTGCTTTATGATACATTCAGCCGTTTTGGTAACCTGATCAATCTGCCCAAGGTGAGATATTTTCTAATATAACATGACCATCGCTAATAGCTTATTTCAGATTGCTCGTGACGATAATAATCTCTCCAAGGGTTATGGATTTGTCTCATTCGCCGACTTTGAATCTTCGGATGCAGCCGTCGCCAATATGAATGGTCAATACCTGATGAACAAACAGGTGTCGGTGCAGTATGCATATAAGAAGGACGGCAAAGGCGAGAGACATGGTGATGAAGCAGAGCGAATGCTGGCGGCCCAGGCACGTAAGCACAATGTCCAGCCTCCTACACAGCAGCTTCCGCCCCAGTTTGGTGCGCCTGGCCCCGTGTCAGCAACGCCTGTCATGTCGAATGGTGACATTTCACGACCCTTGAGTACCGCACCATCGCAAGCACCTGACCTCGGCATGGGTCGCGCTTTGCCAGCTATGGGTTACCAGAGTGTCCCTCCTCCACACAACCGACCTGTCCCTCCTCCCGCCCCGTCGCTCAACACGCCACCACCTGGGCTCCCCGCGCGGCCACCGCGATCTCAAGCCGGCTACGGTGGTCCTCAGACCTTCTTACCACCCGGATTCAATGGTGCTGGTCAGCCGCCTTTCAACCCACAAACTGCGCCACCTGGGTTTGGGCCACCTGGATTTGGACCTCCGACTGGTGCGCCTCCACTACCACCAGGCTTCCAACAGCCCGGATATGGTGGCAGCCGGTGATCCTCGTAGCTTCTGGTCCGGCGAGCCCCCCAAAGATCTGCTACAACCCCGATAATGATTTCTTTGAAATGATTTGATGATCCAAGGACCAAAGGCACTGATTCAAGTTTGATAATTCTCCTCATGGCCACCTCGGGCACGTTGACAGGGGGCGCCTAATAGTGCCATGGAGCCGGCTCACTATTGGCAGTGCATGGTCATGTAATAATAGGTCGTCTCTTTGATACAGAAATACCAGACAGACCGGTAATGTTTTTCAGCACCTGATAATTGCTATCAATATTGAAAGGCAACTGTACATGTTTAAAAGGAAAAAAGAGACCGCCACGTTTCTTCCAAACGCGACAGAAAATCCAGCTCCAAGTGGTAGATTGTTTAGACTGCAAAACGAGTTCGAGTAGTCTGGGAGACCAGAGACGTCTCTTCCCATCAACGGGAACCCTGCTAGCGACAAACAGCACTGGCTGTGACAGGAAAAGAAAAGGAAATCCAATTATGTTAAAAGAACGACTGGCGGTATAGACGTAGAGAGTTCACGAAAACGAAACGAATTTGGGGTCCCTTGGACGGCCGTCAGGTCCGATATTGTTCTTTGCGAATCGTTGCTCTGTGTAGATCCGACGCGCTTCGTCGAAGTCAACCTTCTGATTCTTCATGATCTTTCGCACCTCCCTCTTTGCTTTTTGATCCAAGCCGCCTCTGGAATCACCACCGGCGACATTGGCAGCTAGATCGAATTGTGATGAGCTTAAACCAGCCTCCAGATCGGCTGTGAAACTAGAAGGAAGGCGATGATAGATGTAGTCAGGGACCGGGATTAGTGGTATCCATCGTGACCGAGTGAGGTACAGCGCTGACATCTAATTAGGACCAGTTCAGTATAGCCAATAAACCAGCTTACCTGTTCCAGAAATTATGACCGTGAAAATGAGAGAATAAAAAAGGTAGGTCATGTTGAGTATGCCGAGTTTCTAAGGGTGGATATTGCGATGGCGCCCTCGATATCTCTAAGAGATGAAGTGTCCCTGTAGACAGGAAGCAGTTATTGGGGGAAAAGGCATGGAAACAAAACAAAAAGAAAGAAAGTTGGTTTACTGGGAAAGGCAACGTCAGCGCATCCGTCGGCAGCCTAAAGGTTGGAGATATCCAAGCGGAAAGCGGAAAGCGGAGAAGGCTGACAAAAAAAGGTACAACGTCCTTTACAGTTGTATCATCAAGTGGAATAGCAAATAGAATATGATACTTTCCAGGGTTACACTTGTAGGCGTTATTACCTTTGCACTTTCGAGACTCGCAAGAAGTGTACAGGGTAAAATCCGAACTAGCCAATTTAGCGTGTAAATTTGATGCCTCATGATGCAAGCAACAAAGCCAAGCTGTCAGGCCACAAGGCACCAAGGCACTAATCTATTCCCAAAGTGGCCGCCTTAGCGAGACGTCCATTTCAGGTCTTGGCATTCGACACACACAATTTGGTCGAACGTGAAGACGGTTTGATAGCGACTACGATCCCTCAATTTCCCAACGCAACACTATCTCATCACAATGGCCACAAACATCTCTAACGATCTGGTCTGGCAGATCACCCGTATGTTCGACCTTTCGCAATTCTACTTGGGAATTTTTACCTCGCTTTTTTGACTCGAACGTCCGCTGATCGCTCTCTGGAACAGGCAACCAGAACAGCTACCTGGTTAAGCGCAACAGCGGCGGTGGCTCCCAGTTCTCCCGGGACCCTTTGAACGTGCTCAACAAGCACTCTTACAAGGTATGGGCCTTGGGCTGTTGACTCCGGTGGATAGCTCTTTTTGTGAATGGATGGCTAACAATGGCTTGGGATTGCAGTACGCCGGCTATGCCAACAACAAGGTACTTTGTTCTCTTTCTTGTTTGGTTCTCAGGGTGCTAATCATCTCCTCAGGCCATCGGTGTCCAGGGAACCGAGAACGGTGTTGCCGTGACCACCAAGAAGCCCAGCAACCCCCAGCAGCCCGCTAAGAACACCGTCACCGTCACCTACGGCCCCAGCACTGCCACCCGCAAGTAAGTGAACCTGAATCCCTCACTCATGGCCCATATGACTGGTGATCAGTACTGATGGTAATTACTCCCAGGATCTACAAGGGTGTTGCCGACAAGACCGCCAAGCACGGCTACCGTGCTGACATCCGCGAGGAGGCTGTTGCCCGTGTGAGCGCCATCCGTCGCTCGCAGCTCCCCAAGAAGGATACTCCCGCCCAGAAGCCCCGTGGCGCCAAGGCCCGCAAGGCTGAGGAGTCGGAGTAAATGCGTTTCCCTGAAATGACCTAGAATTGTGGCATGTGAAGGATCTGGATTGGATGGGAGACCTGATAGGCGTATATCGCCGTGCTGGACTTGGGATAGATCCCATGTAATCTAGCAATCATGCTCCGGGGCAGAAGAAAGAAGACTGTCCCCAGAGAGAAAACAAATTCCAAAAAGAACAGTTTTCAATCGGAAAAGAAATCAGCCTGAGAATGTCGTAGTACAGTAACATATGCGATCAACAACCGACCAGTCGGCCCGAGCCTCAGGACACGGAAATTGCTTCCCGCCTTTTCCCGATGGAACAATCCGCGCACATGTCGGAGTTGGTTTAGAAGCGAGAACTTCCGAATAATGAAGGAGAGAAGGACAGGTATTTGGATACATTAAGAGGTTGAGAGAGGGAGGGGGTAGTACCTACGTAGATAGACCTACACTATACCTTAGAAATGACCTAATTAAATACGATGTACTATCATATATATATCCATAACTAACACATATATAACCATAACTACCACATAACTTAACTAGTAAGTATACGAGGTAATAATAAGCTACACGTCATTCGACATGTGGACGATGTACTCCGGGGTTGCCCCTCTCAGCCCCTCCCTTTATAAATCGGTCGGTTCCCTCCTGAGCTTTCCCCTCCTCCCCCATCTCTAACTCTAACCTCATTCACAAATCACCATGGTCAAGGCTGGTGAGCTTTTTTACCTTTTCTTTTCCTTTGCCTTTTAATGAATCATCCATCACTGACTCTCTTATTTAGTTGTTCTCGGAGCTTCTGGTGGCATTGGCCAGGTTAGTCTTCAATTGGGACCTTGAGAAGCCCCAGCTAATCACGATATAGCCTCTCTCCCTCTTGCTGAAGGCTTGCCCTCTTGTTGACGAGCTTGCCCTTTACGATGTTGTTAACACCCCTGGCGTCGCTGCAGATCTCTCCCACATCTCCTCGGTTGCCGTACGTGTGCCCCTCCCCAAAGCGTCCCTGGTGAGCGCTGCGCTGACAATAAGTAGAAAATCACCGGCTACCTCCCCAAGGACGATGGATTGAAGCTTGCCCTGACCGGTGCTGACGTCGTCGTGATCCCGGCCGGTATTCCCCGTGAGTAGCACCATAGCCCGCATTGTTTATCGTGCTTTGCTGACAAGATCGGTGACATGTAGGCAAGCCTGGTATGACCCGTGATGACCTTTTCAAGGTCAATGCCGGCATTGTCAAGACCCTTGTCGAGGGAATCGCCCAGTTCGCCCCCAAGGCTTTCACTCTCGTCATCTCCAACCCCGTCAACTCTACTGTCCCCATTGCCGCTGAGGTTCTGAAGGAGGCTGGTGTCTTCGACCCTAAGCGCCTGTTCGGTGTGACCACCCTGGACGTTGTTCGTGCCGAGACCTTCACTCAGGAGTTCTCTGGCGTCAAGAACGCCTCCGATGCCACTATTCCGGTCATCGGTGGCCACTCCGGCGAGACCATTGTCCCCCTGTTTAGCAAGGTCTCCCCTAGCTTCCAGATCCCCGCTGACCGCTACGATGCTCTTGTCAAGCGTGCGTAAAATATATCCTTAAGATGGAGATGAGTTGCTGACAGGTCACAGGTGTTCAGTTCGGTGGTGATGAGGTCGTTCAGGCCAAGGACGGTGCTGGTTCCGCTACCTTGTCCATGGCATTTGCCGGTTTCAGGTATGTTTCCTACTCTATCCATGAAATTTTAGCCGTGACTGACTTTTACAAGATTTGCCGAGGCCGTCATCAAGGCCTCCAAGGGCGAGAAGGGTATTGTTGAGCCTACTTTCATCTACCTGCCCGGTGTTGCCGGCGGTGACGAGATTGCCAAAGCCACCGGTGTTGAGTTCTTCTCCACCCCCGTGGAGCTCGGTGTAAGTATTCATTATTTTATGCGCATTAAAAACGGCTAGCTGACATGATTGATACAGCCCAACGGTGCCGAGAAGGCCATCAACATACTCGAGGGCGTAACCGAGCAAGAGAAGAAGCTTCTTGAGGCTTGTATCACTGGTCTTAAGGGCAACATCGAGAAGGGCGTTGAGTTTGCCAAGAACTCACCACCAAAGTAAGGACTCTCACCCTCGCACCATGCATTGCACAAGCAACTCCCCATATCGAGTCTCCTTTGTCACACCTTTTCCCCTATCGATGGGTCCATCGCTTTCACGGATATGATGGCATCGGGAATTGACAGAGCGTCGCTAATCAATTTTGTGCCCGGAAAGATAGGCTTTGAATGCGACACCATGAGATTATGAACAACGAGTAGACACAACAGTGTGTGGTCCTTGATCAGGCGGGAAGAAGATGGGTTTGGCACAGAATTAGCAACAAACCTGCAATGAAATAAAATCCGGATTCCCCTGTATGGTAGCCTGTTTCAAGTAGTTGCAAGAATTGGAACGGCCTATTGTCCTCAACCGAGGAGAACCGTGAGAGAAGGATACCAGAGTAGGGCTGTCGATGCCGTCATTGCCGTACAATGGGCCACCGAATGAAGTGAAGATACAGTCCAGACCCAGGCAAATACTCCCATCTTCAAGGCCGGGGCTGGAGGGTTTTGATCTGGAAAGTCGCACCTGGCAGGTCCGATGTCTCGGCCTGCACGGTTGTGTTAATGCCCAAATTGGCCAATGCGCCCCGAATAACACCGCAGGGAAACCAAAGGTACTAGGTCAGTTTGTAAGCTGCTAGGCCTCAATTCGAAAGTGGTTGCAAGTAATTGCTTACTGCTTGCGCCATAGATATCGCATCGCTCCGGACTGCCATGCTCATCCTCCCAAAAGGCCGGAACGCGCTATCGGTCAAAACGTAGACCCCCTATTTATTTGATCACATCAGTGCCTCAGAACTCCCAATGCAGGCGCAACAATGGCCTGCTTCCTGCGATACGTGTTCCATATTCACTTACCCGATGGTTTGTTTTCAAATTGTCCACCTGCTTCTTAAATAAGACTGTCCACAGATCCTTGCAGAGGAACTTGATCACATCGAGATTATCGGTAAACCGAGGCCGATCTCGAGAAAACCTGGATTGTCCGATTGACACAAATTAGCACACTGAACTATGGAAGACGCACTGGAGAACCTCTGAATGTAAGGAAACTGTTCAAGCTTACCGTTCCGCAAGGCCTTGTCCAACACGATAACCCAAAGACTCCAGACGGAAGAACGTCGTCTCCCTTACCTCTTCATCTTCGGTGTCTTTGCCCTCAGTTGCTAGATCCCGTGCCATACGCTCGGCCATAGGCACCAGTTCTATGAGAAGGAAGTCGAAGCATGAGGAGCTGAAGACACGGGCGTTCGGATCCGAGGTATTTAATGGCGGGGAGGATGAATCGAACGACATGGTGAAAGCTCAAGATCAATAGGCAGCCAAGAATTGCAAATGGAATTGAATGTATCTCGAAGGACGTGATGAGGAAGAGAAGTCGGGAATGCGGAGTTGGGGAAGTCCAAGCTCTCCGCCCGAAGTGTTTGCTTATCTACGGAGATCTGCCTCTCCTAGGTGACTTGCATAACATGAGTAGAAGCCATTAAGAAAAAATATGTACCGAACAACTCATTGAATGACTTGGCTCATTGGAATAGCTAAAATAATGCAGTCCCTCCGCTCAAATAATCGCCTATGATACCAATATCCCAAGACCCCCGAACCTGATCGCGCCATAAAACACCATAAAAATATGCAGCTTTCGAGATAAAAAGACGACCATTTGGGACCATGAGCTGGAAATTTAAGTCTAAATTGATGGAGGATAGGAACTGCCATTCAGAGGGCTACTGGCCGACGGTAGGTGGTAATCTTGTCGGGGAAAGGACCGAGATGGCAAGTTTGGAGCGAGCCGTTTAGGAGATGGAACAGGAAACTCATCATCCTCATCGCCACTTTCTGTGAGATCAATGACTTGGGAGACAGGTCTCTTTTTGTTCGACAGACGCGCAACGGAGGACGGGGTTGATGCCTCCCTTGACTGCGCGGGTGTCCTTTCTAGAGCGAGATTTGGGGGTCCCGGTTCCTGTTTTACAGAGGGAATACCCGGTTCGCTGATTTCAATCAAGTCATCATCGTCGTCATCGTTTGATGCTGGCGTCATACCGCCCAGCTTGACTATGTCCGAGTCACTAGGACCTGACCACGTACCGTCAGGCTCAACGGTGACTTGATCGATTTCCGATGAAGTTGTTTGAAGGATATCATCAACGTACCTAACAGAGTTAGAAAAGGATAACGCGTGCTGCAATGGACGAGATGAAAACTCACTGGTCGACTTGCAGAGACTCGAAGCTAGTTGATTTGGAACACACAGGGCAGGTCCAAGTTGGGGCTTGCTTTTGTAATTCTAAGAAAGATGATGCATCGAAGCACTGGTTGTGAGTGCAGACGATAGACCGACAAGGAACCTTGATGCGAAGGGTCGATAGAGGGCATTTCAGCGACATGACACTCGATGTGGCAACGATATCAGAGTCGTGTGCGCGATTTTTCACTAATGTCGATATATGTTAGAGAATGTGTAAAGGAAGTAGAGAATTGTCTTACTTTCACGTATGACCTGCTCCTTTGAAATGAGTTTCCGTGTCCTCAACTGCGAGACGAGATCCTCAATCGGATGTTGTCTGACGAGGTTGGCAAGCGCGAAGAATTTCTGTGGTAAGTCAGCCAAACCGTCAAATGAATGCTCCACCAAATGAGTAGCGACATAACGGCTCCAACCTTTTGCGTCAATGCATAAGTCATGACAATGTTGTTCGGGTAATCGGGCTTCTTCCGGATGTAATTGGTGACATCTGCAGGTTGCGTAGTGCCTGGTCTGTTTTTCAAGCCTCTGAGATTGGCTTTCACTTCATCGAGATTCGCCTTGAGCTCCACCTGATGTGGAAATGCGATATCCGACTTGGTGTACTGGGTAAGGCCTGAATCTGCAGCACAATATACCATGACTCGGGCGTTGGAATCCATCTGCAACTTTTGAGCAGTTCGGTGAGAAAGCATGACCTTGAGTTCCACACTATCCCGGGTTTGTTCGCGAACTTGATGAAGTTAGCCTTGAATGATCAACAGAAGATTTCCCGAGTGACATACTCTTGCATTCCACCACAGGAGTTAAGGCCTCAATAATCGTAAAGAAGGGGCTTTCTTTAAACTCCAATCGACCTGGAGGCCTATTAGAGGCCGCAGGGGGTTTTGAGAGAGAATTGCCCGGACCAGCAGTGTACGGGTGGGGTGACATGGAAACCCCGAGGGTCGCCGACCGAGCCTGCGCGGGAGACTGTGAAATGGGTGGCGCCTGATATTGATTTCCAGTATGTGGTGAGTATCGTGACCTGGGAAGAGCAACATCCAGAATGCGCCGCGCTAATGCATCGAAGCTTAGACGGTCTGAGGTCGCAACTTCTTCAAGCCCTAATCCAAAATGTAAGCAACCATATTGACCAGAGCTCATTTGACAATGGGGGTTAATGGAATGCGGGAGGAAGAGGAAGAGGAAGAGGAAGAAGGAGAGAGGAAGATTGACGAACGTTGGATAATGCGGAGCTGCAGGGCTATCTTCACTCCTGATACCTGGAGGCTTTCGGACCTCAACAGATCTTTTAATGACGGGTTTGTCAGTGTCTTGATGAGGGCCACCAGTGTTGGAACATCCGTCGAATGGCCTGGGGTTGCCATGATTTCGTTCAAAGAGAGGAGTTGCAGGAGCAATCAAGGAGGACTTGGTCCGATGTTCCTCAAAAGACAAGAGTCCAATTCAGCCAGAGCGATGATAAAGGGTCTGCATCTATACATCTCATGTATATAAGAAGAAATCACCAACCCCGAGTCAAGAGTGATATATGCCTCGGAGGTGAGGTGCGGCCTCCGGATGACATAAGACACTTATCTGAAAAAAAAAGTTGTGTTATCACTTCCCCCCCCATTATTTGCCTCGCTCTCTTTCTTTACTTAATTTTTACTTTGGCATTTCTTCTTTTCCAAAATGGCGAAAAGTGTGCGCGCCAGCGTCTCCAAGCGCAACAGAGCGAATCTCCGCAAGAAGGTGTTTGGCCCGGTCGTTGATGCTAGAACCGAGCGACTCGCAGCCAAACTCCAGGAGCTTGCTTCACAACCCCGGCCCGAAGCCCCCGAGAAATCAAAGATGGATCTAGAAGATGATTCTGGTATGTCCCCTGTGTTCGATTATACAAGGATCCTGGCTCACTTCTTATCACAGTCAACCAAGAGGAAACTGCTGCCAAGGCCTCTCAAGCTGGTGCAGACGAAGGTTGGTCTACATTATCACTCTAATCGTCGATTATTGACTTGCAAACCCTAACCATTCATTTGCCACAGAGATGGATATCGATTCTAAGACCTCCAAGAGCCGATCCTCGAAAGCAGGACGTGTGCAAAAGCGCAACCGCAAGCCCCGTAACTCTATTGTTTTCCAAGCACGTCCTTCCAAGTCCAAGAAGGGTTACAATAAGAAGTGACGGTCAAGAAAAGAATGAGTTATTGAATCCCGGAGTGGCGGAGATTAAACAAAGGCGTTTGGGAGTTCACTGATGATTACACCTGCGATCCACATACATATGTTTCATAGTCTGTGCCTCATGATATACTTTACCTTTCACTGAAAGCTTTGAGGAAATTGCGTAAATATAAGTTGGGCATACTCTGTACACTCGAACTAAAGGCGGTGTGGGGATATCCGTCGATCGTAAACACAATTCTGCCCCCCTTTGGACATTTATGTCCTTTCGACTCGGTATTCTTCAGTTCTTTGGCATCTGTGTTTACTGCCTTGACGCAGCAAATTGGCAATGGCGGGCTTCCGCAGTTGGGCGACTGTAATCGCCAATCTGTTGGTGCCCGTGGGCATACTGACCTTCTCCTCTGGGTTCTTCCCATATAAACCGTTGATTCCTGGACTAGCGACCTTTGAAGAGGGGGATGAGCATGCAGCACCGGCAGTGTTTGATAAGGTCATTTTCATGGTGGTTGATGCATTGCGGAGGTAGGATTGGTATAGAACACCAATATTGTATGGAGCTAATGTGATATCAGTGACTTTGTATATTCAAATGACTCCGGATTCTCGTTTACACAAAGGTTGGAGCCATACACAGTGATAAGAGAATAAGTAACTGATCCAAACATAGCTTGATCCGATCTGGTGCTGCGTTACCATTTACGGCCTATGCGGGCTCTCCAACTGTTACAATGCCTCGCTTGAAAGCCATAACCACCGGCTCAGTTCCATCTTTCTTAGATGTGATTCTAAACATTGCAGAGTCAGACACTTCATCAACCTTGGCGTTTCAAGACACATGGTTGGCGCAGTTGAAAGCAAGAGGGGAACGACTGGTGATGTACGGGGACGACACCTGGCTCAAACTCTTCCCAGGGATGTTTGATCGGGCTGACGGGACCACGAGCTTCTTCGTGTCGGTCAGTTGTACTTTCTCTAGGTCTTGCAACCTTAGTATTGAAGCTGAAATCCCTACAGGACTTTACGGAAGTAGACCATAATGTGACCCGGCATGTTCCTACCGAGCTCGCTCAGAGTGATTGGTCTGCTTTGATCATGCATTATTTGGGATTGGATCATATAGGCCATAAGGCGGGCCCCAAAAGGTATCTGCCAATCCTCACACCTTTGTACCTGATCACTAACCCATTATCAGTTCCTTCATGATACCGAAACAGCAGGAGATGGATTCCGTGGTAACAGAGATATATACCGCGATGCAAAACGAGCAACATCTTCAATCTACGCTTTTCGTCTTGTGTGGAGACCACGGCATGAATGATGCTGGAAACCACGGCGGGTCCTCAGCCGGAGAGACTTCACCTGCTTTGGTCTTTATTTCGCCCAAATTCGAGGCTTTGAGTGGCCGGAGAGAAAGCCCAGTGGAACCATTTGATGATTTGCAATACTATCGGACAGTTGAGCAAGCAGACATCACTCCGACATTAGCGGGACTTCTTGGGCTCCCCATTCCTTTGAATAGCTTAGGTATATTCATCCCTGAGTTCTTGGAGATGTGGGAACATGGTATGCGCTTGATTATCATACACAGGCTAGAAAGTGACGCAGGCTGACTCGGACATAGGCTCTCAAAAGCTTCAGATTCTATGTCAAAATGCCAAACAGCTGCTGAACACTCTCAAGGCAACATTTCCCGGGACGAACTTTGGCCCCGAGGGCATCGAATCTTGTGCCTTCGGGGCCGAATCAGGCATTGAGGCTGCTCAATGTGCATGGGCTCGAATTCAGGAACTCATCTCTGGTGGTGCTGACCCCGAGGATTCCTATTCCACCATTAGTCCGATTCTGTTACAGTTCTCAGAGGTTGCCCAGGACATCATGAGTCGCACTGCGAGCAATTACAATATCAACAGGCTTTGCCTAGGCCTGTTTATCACTGGAATTGCTGTTTTGGCTGTACTTCCATTCACATACGCAGAATGCAAACGGCACATATCATCCGGATTGTTTCTGGTATTCATGGTCGCCACCTACGGGCTCATGATGTTTGCAAGCAGCTACGTGGAAGAAGAGCAACAGTTTTGGTATTGGATATGCTCCGGGTGGACTTTTTACTTACATGTCAGATCGGAGTCTGCAAGATCGGACTCACACAAACGCCCTCAGTCAATAACGCTCTGGTCCAGAAATGGCATCATAATTGTATTTACGATTACGCAGAGACTCCTTCGACGGTGGAACCAAACAGGACAAAAGTTTGCGGCTGAGCCTGATATTGCTCGCACATTCTTCCCACGCAATCCTGATATCTTCTGGGGCCTTCTCATACTCGCTTATGCAGATGCCGGTATTCATCTTCTCCGGAATCTACCAGTATCTGGCCTGCCACAGCTAGGTGCATTGCTTCTTGCCGTCTTGGCCTTTACATTCAAGTTGCACTTTGTGGCATCGGAGTCCCCCGAACTCCTTGATGGGACTTTTATCTCCCAGCTTGTGGAGAAATGGCCTTACAGCCTCTCATTGGTCTTACACGCCAGAATTGTCTTCTATGGGATAGGTGTTGTCATTCTGTTGGCACTCTTGGCAGGGACGACAGCAAGAGCGACCCGAAGTAAGCTTTGAACCCCAAACTTCCGTGAACCTGGCTTTACATGACTGATCTGAATCTGCAGCGTCGCACCACACTATCCATGAAGCTTTGCACATCCTCTTAATGACACAGTCCCGGGCCACGAATGTCCCATTGTTCTTGATCTTTCGAGTGCAGGCCAGCATTCTCTCTGCAATGAACCTCTCAGGAAACGAAGTAACGATCACGACCTTGATCTTCCAGTACATGACATTCTTTGCATTTGGCGGTTCAAATGCAATCTCTTCGGTGGACCTTGCTAGTGCCTACAATGGCGTCGGCAGCTACAGCGTGATGCTCGTGGGTGTTCTCACCTTTGTGAGCAACTGGGCGGGCCCTATCTGGTGGGCTTCACAAAGCCATCGTCTTCGGCAGAAGAGCCCCGAGCAAGATCATCTGACATTGCTGACCTTTCACATTGCTATGTCGTTGGCCTCTGTCATGGCTGCCTGCACTGCGCTACGGACCCATCTCTTCATTTGGACCGTCTTCTCTCCCAAGTATCTCTACAGTATGGCATGGGCCACTGCCAATCATGTTGGCGTGAATATACTTGGTGAACTCTTGTTCTCTGCATCTCGATAGTGACATAAATCATAAGTTGATATCGCCCGCACGCTTCATAAAAATACAAGTCTTGGGCAATTAAACTCCCCCAACCAAACGTAACTGCACAGGACATAGACCATTCAAAACAACCCATTGAATAGATCATCAATAGCATTCTTCTTTTTCTTCTTCGACTTCTTGGGCTTTGCTCGTTTCGAATCAGTCTCTGCGGGCTCGGGCACGGACTCAGGTCGAGATATCTCGACTGGCTTGACGAGAGGTGCTTCGTCAACGCGGATCACTCGTTCCCCGAGATCTTCCTTGGCGACAAAGCCTGTATTCTTGGGCCTAATTGCCCCGGGCTGGGTCTTCAGTTCCTGACTGATTCCGGTCACTTTGGACAGTCGCGCCAACGTAGCTAGGAGCACGACCCCAAGTGAAGAGAACCGGTTGTCAGCAACAACCGTGGAAAATGCCCTGGATAAAAGTCAGTGCGAGATTTGGGAAACGGGGAAGCCAGGCAATGCGTACACATAGCATCGCGGGACGATGTGAGCGAGGTGAGCTTGCGCGCCCGATCGGGCGAGATCCAGGGTGGCGCGCTTTAAGGCCGACAGCCATTTCCACCACTTTGCGCCACGGTGTTGATTCTTATTACGATGGAAGATCAAATGGAGTATTGAGTGGATGGCCAGGATTTCTTGGGAGTCCATGGCTTTGCTAAGGAGACAAAATCTGAGAGGAAAAGTCTTCCCGCCCCGACTACCCTACGTCTTTGAACTGGTATTTTCTTTTCCCCTTTTTGCAGATAAGTCAATTCTCATAAGAATAAAGTACTCGGTGAGTGCAAACGTATATTCTACGTCAGAAGAGAAAACCCTCTCCTCCAGGTTCCACGACAAAATATCATATCCCGGACGCTCTCAACCAAATGCTTCAGTTTGCATTCGAAATTGGCTCTGCCTTCCTGTACTTCAGGGACTTCGTTGTCTGACTGCTTGTTTTGTTGAGATTTTCGAGTGTTTTTGTGTTTTGTCCTTTTTCTTCGTCTCTGTTTCAATAGTGTTGGGCATGCTGCAGGTTGCCGACGTGGACCGGAGGCACTAGTCTCAGTGCTGGGCAGAATCATTACTCGTCCTCTGTCTTGATAGAACGATCATCATCAAGTTGCATGGGAGAGCTGAAAACATCGTCACTGTTCAGCATGGCTTGTCCAACTGATCCTCGGGGAGTTCGAAGGAAGGGTCGAGACCGGGGGTTTTGACTGAAGGACTGCGCGCGAGCTCGGGGACGACTGCGACTGCCACTAACTGGAGTAGCGACATCTCGGGCACGAGGAGCAAAGAGGCCTGTACAAGGGTCAATTCAAGTTCAGAGGTCAAAGGTAGAGAGGTCTTACCTTGCTGGGTAGTACTGGCAACAGAGCGACGAAGTTTGCTGGCATCATTCGGAGGTGGGAATTGTGCCTCGGTTCCAGAACGAGGTCCGCCGATGTGGAATAGCTGCAATTCATATAAATTAGCACCGGTATCAAGTCAAGATGGTTTGCAACTCACACGAGGGCGTTCATTGGCAGGACGGGTCATCACATTGCTGTTGCGGAACTTGGCAACGAGCACATCTTTTCCTTGGAGAGCTAATGAAGTTTGTTAAATAACCTTTCTTGTCAGCCATGGAGGGAATACAAACTGGCATAAGAGATCTCTGCCTTCTTTTCGGAAAGACAATCGGGCCTTTAATTACCATTAAGTCAGCAAGCATGCACTCAGTGGGTTGGAATCAGATGGGAGCAAACAAACCAGGTCTTGCCCTGACGAGCCAACATGAGCTATGAGGAGGAGTATGGTAAGCAGATGTCATGAATTGAATTGCAGTACTCACGTCAACGATATCAATTGCCTGGGAAACATTAGCCTAGTACCAGAGAACAGCACAGGTGGAGAGGAGGACAAGGACCTACGTCTCCAAAGTTGACAAAGGCGTAACCGACGCTGGAAGGCAAAGGTGAGTATGTATGGGAAAAAAAGACCCTAGCCGAAAGAACATGAGTATCTCGGACTTACTTGCAGCCATGATTGAAGTCTGGTAGTCATGAGTTAGTAGCTAACCAAGAGAAGCGCCGTTGATATCACTTACCCATGCGCAGATAGAGGAAGTCATATTTTCCGAAGCTTGATTCATCCAGGATATTCTTAAGCTCGTCCTGTTGAGAGAACACTGGTTCAGTATTTGTGGCTGGCCAAAAAAAAAAAAAAAAAAAAAAAAAAAAAAAAAAAAAAAAAAGAGGACGGGGAGAGAAAATGCATACCGAAGTAATCTTGTTGGGAATATTTCTGATCATAATCTGCAAGGAGGAATAGTTTAAAATCATCCTCGAGCCTGATGAGAGGAAGAACTCACTGTGCTGCGAACGTCCATGCCTCGGTGAATGAGGTCCATATCAATCGTGTTTTCACCATTGGAGCTTTCCTTGCTCGGAGAGGTATCACTGCTGGAGGAAACAAAGTCCGGAGTCAATGGAACATGTTGGGAGCTCACGCTGGGGGTTCGAGGGCGGAGACCCCGGTTGGTATCATCCTGTGGACGGTTGAAGGAAGCATGGAATGTAAGATACTAAATCAGAACAAAATCAGTATCATACTTTAGAGGCATATTGCTTGCATCAAGAAAGATGGTAGCAAAGGAGACATGGGAGCAAAGGAAACATGGGAGCAAAGGGGATATGAGCGCAAAGGGATAAACAAAGGAACAAACCTCGTATTTGAACCCTTGAAGGCAGGCAAAAGCGTAAGAAGTATGGCGTGTGCTGTAAAATTCGACTCGATACTTTTGAGCCACCGATCCGTTCTCAGAAAGCCGGAACAATCGCACATCGCCAAGAGAACGAACTAGACGCTCCACCAGATCATGATAATCTTCTGTCAGGCAGTTACCGTTAGCGCGAACAGTTACCATAAGTATGCCATCGTTCGTATTTGAGGTGCTAGGGATATCGAATTCATTGGTGAGATTCGCAATATCTTGAGCTGAGGCAGGATCCACAACCCATTCAGGATGAGTGTATCTGAGTCGGTGAATAGAACGTGTCACGTCACGGAGATCGGCAAACAGAACTGAAAATCGGCCTTGGGTCTGGAGGTCTCTGAGATAAACACTGTCGATGGAAGGGTAATCCCCAGGCTTCAAAATGTCAGCATTGATTCATCGAATGATTAACCTTGCGTTGCAACTCACAAGAAAGTGCTCCAGCACAGACCAATGAGTAGAGTTGGTAGGAACACCATTGACGATGAAGCCACGCTGATTGTCAGTGGCCAACGAAGGGAGAACGGGGGAAGGTAGGTCATTCAGAATATGAGCCAAGCCCTGACTAGGGGCGCTGGTGTTCCGTGGGAAAGATGACACTGGATCAAGTCCAGCAGGTTGATCAGCAGAGGCAGCCAACAAACGGGCCAAGAAGTCCGGGTTAAGGGGGCTGGGCAAGTCCACTGGGGACGGCGAGTAGACTGAACGGCCAACGTGGCTAGGCGAGTACAGAGGCTGAGAGCTGTGCTGAGTACGAGCGAATGAGTGCTGGGTTTGCGCAGGCGAATATTGAGATGGAGGCGGGATACTAAAAGCCGGAGCAGGAAGTGCAGACGTAGAAGCACCACGAGAATGAGACAGGCCGGTGCCCGGGGCAGACATTCCTGGTGAGAAAATTCCCTGGGGCCAACCGCCGAATGGGTCACTAAAAAGAGGTTAGTATTCATAGCTTGACATATCAATTGATCTTGAAGCCTCTTACGCAGACCGAAGAGTCGACATTCCAGGGAATACAACCGGGGTTCGTTGAGAGGAAGCCTCAACGGTATTGGGACTGAAGGCCGCGAGTTGGTCCGAAGACGAACTCTGAGTGGAGGGCGGATCAGACATGCTGTCCATAAGCTCAGATCTGGTCAATACAGGGTTAGCATCGTCAAATATAGTAACGAAAAATTGAGCATGGTTGTTCGTCTTTCTTTGAAGCAGGTTTCGAGAAATTTAACCACGGGGGAAAAGACCAAAGCCACGGAGTAAGCCGACAAATGTAAAAAGACATAAAATGCTTTGAGAGAAAGGAAAAACCTGAACAACTTACTAGCGTTGAATATCAAAATAAACGGTCGAATTGAAAGACGAGTCGAAAGCGTGGGTTATCGACGAGGGAAGAAATCGTTAAGCCTTCCGTGGACTTTATATATTGTCTGCGTTAAGACAAAAGCTTTTCGACCGACGACTCATCAACGACTCATCTTGAGCCCTCGACGAGTCACCCCAACACTTTGCCTGACTCTGCCGCGACGCTTTAGGCAATACCCTTGGCAACAGACAATTGATTTGGCCAATCATGGTAATGAATATTTGGACTAGGTAGTGCTGCACAGATCGGCTTGGATATCATGACACTCGGCGAAACACATCATCTAAACAGGTGCTACTGGTACAAAATCCAACCATGCCTTACAACACAAAGTTGTAAGAGTTCTGTATATCACTGTACCAAAAGTCAGTTCAAATAATCAGATGTAAACTTGAAGAAATTATCCATCAGCAAAGCTAGGATTATCACCTTAATGGGCTCCAGGGCTTATTTGTTTGGGTTCCTGCAAAATTGGCAGGGACAGACTAGGCAGCAGAAACGACCTGCATGTGCTCCATTAGTATTATGATTCATTATCATTCATGAGTGCCACATAACAGCCATTCACAATTGGCATTATCTTCACAACAGGTAACTTATATACTTCGAAGTATAGATGTCGTTGCGCAAGGTTCACGCTAGTGTATCGGCTAGTCTGGAATTGGATTAGCGTATTTAATGCGGTCAACTCTGTTGTTGGCAGAGAACCAGACCGCCCGAGGAATTCAGACCTCCCCCAGAATATCAGCTCTGTATCTATCTATCTACAAGCTCAGCCCCGTGCGAATCTGTGAACTTGGATCTTGGATTTCCCGGGATATGAAGCCAAGCCATGGCGCCGTTGGCTCCAGTGCTCAATGAGCCACATGTCCTGAACCAGGTAAGAGCCAGCATGCTGTACGTTAGACTGACGATTGACCCCTCGCCCCTAGATTATTATCTCACCCTCTGACACGGACTACCTTGACCAACTCATCCCTTCGATTCGGGATTACAGCGTCGGTAACCGCACCCTCAGCTCCTGCAGTCACTTTCCAGATTCGCTGCCGACAAGGAATCCGAGATAGAAGGTATCTGCAACACAAATCACCAGGAGTTTGTCTCATCTGTCAATTCACTGCTTCGTATTCGGGAGGGCACTGTGAGCTTAACGGGAGAGATTCTGGACTTAAACCAGTCCATCCAAACCAGCACTGAGCGCTTGGCCGAACAGAAGAAAGCTTTGGTGGAGTCCCGAGGCCACCGACAGAATATTGACGAGACATTTCGTGCCATCCAAGACTGCTTGGAGGTTTTGCGCCTAGCGAATCAAGTCCATGATCTTTTGGCAAAGAAGAACCACTATGCAGCGCTCCGGGCGCTGGAAGAATTACAAAATGTCCATCTGAAGGGGGTAACACAATACAAGATTGCAGTCATGATCCAGCGTTCGGTTCCAGCAACACAAAGAGCTATTGCAGAGGCAGTGATGTCAGACCTCAATACCTGGCTGTACCGGATTCGGGAAATGTCCCAATACCTCGGCGAAATTGCCCTTTTCCACACGGATCAGCGCAAATCAAGGCAAAAGCAAAGGGCAGAGAAGATCCCTTACCTCGAGCAATTCAACTTGAACTCTGCGATAGAACTGGTATCCGATGAGGATGAGGAATATGATTTGCTCCAGAACGAAGACCTACAAGTTGACTTCACACCGCTGTTCGAGTGCCTACATATCCACCAGTCCCTGGGTCATATGGATAAATTTCGAACAGAGTACGCAACTACCCGCAGGAGGCAAAAGGACCTCTTGCTTCCGTCTTCCGTTACCCTAATGGATGAGGATGGCTCCAGTCTGCACAATCTCCTAGAGGAGATGGCTGGGTTTGCCATTGTTGAGCGGGCCACGATGAAACGAGCACCAGATCTCAGATCACCCGTTGATGTAAGTGACATGTCTTCCCCTCTAACCTACTCCCTCGCCAATATTAATCTAACATGTATACCCAATCAGGTTGATGAGTTGTGGGATTCAATGTGCCAAGCGGCTGTGAAATTGATATCGAAAGCACTTCCCGAAGTCGATAATGCTGAAATCATCATCGACATCAAAAACCTGATTGCTTTGTTCATGCAGACCATGAACGTCGGTAACCCCCTGGGCAAACTTAAGCTCACTATCTGACATCTTTTAACTAGACGTGGAACTTTTCTGTGCGTGTCTTTGAGGACTTTACATTGAAGCTCTTCGAAAAATATGCCGAGCTTCTCAAGAAAAGATTCAGTGACGACTTTCAGGAGGTAAGACCAGCTGTCTGCACTATTTAGTCAGTTATACTGACACTGCCAGGTTGTTACAACTGATGACTACATGCCTATGCCTATACAAACTCCAGAAGAACTTGAAAAGGTGCTCAATGTGAGCTGGTACAACCCAGGCAAATCGCGCGAGGAAGAAGTGTACGTTTTGTAGTCCGTACTGATTGATCTTCATCTGTGACTGACTGATGTTTCAGGTTCCCCTGCATATTGCCATTCTCCCGAATGTATCCACTCTGCTGCATCGATATCCGTAACTTTTTGAACCAGTTCTATTACTTCGCCAACGATAGTTTCGCGAACACAAATGTGATTGATGAGACATTGAAAAATGTAAGTCTGTGAAAGAACAAAAGTCAGGATGAAGAAGTTTGATGCTGAGTCCACAGGATTTGGATGACCTCCTTTCACACAGAGTCTGTGACACCTTGGTGGAGCGTCTTTCCTCGCAATATCTAGGTCAAATTGTTCAAATCCTCATTAACCTGGAACACTTTGAGGCCGCTTGTCGCGAATTGGAACTCCTTCTGGCAGCAGCTCGGTCACAAAACTCCACGGGTACCTCGATTGCTCTGAGGGCCACGGAGAAGTTCAGGAGTAATAAGAAGGCTGCTGAGAAGCGCATCTTCGAGGTTGTCAATTCCAAGATCGACGACCTTATTGAGACAGCGGAATACGAATGGATGTCCCCCACACCTCCTACCGAGCCCAGCAATTACATGCAGACCTTGACTCGATTCCTTTCAAATATCATGAACTCGACACTGTTGGGTCTACCGACTGAGATCAAAGAACTTATTTACTTTGACGCTCTCAGCCATGCCGCTAATATGATCCTGGTGTGTTATTGTATCCTATAAATACACCGAAACAAGGTTTTGCTGACTGGCCAACTAGGCACAACCACTCTCGCCAGACGTGAGGAAAATCAATCCCAACGGAGTGGCAGCATTGGCCAAGGATGTTGAATATCTGGCTCAGTTTGTAGACAGTTTGAATGTTCCAATCCTTCGGGAAAATCTCGACGAACTGCAGCAAACGGTGCAATTGATGCAAGCGGATAATGCGGATGAATTTTATGATATTTCTACGAGAAACAAGAAATATGGACGTGTTGATGCCATGCAGGGACCCATCCTGCTTGAGAAGTACGTTACCATGTTGCATCTCACTCTTCAGATATTTGCTGACTTGTTACAACTAGGCTCACTCGCACTGTCCAAGCACCCACCAAGGTGGACAAGTTTGCGACGCTTTCTTCACGGTTCAAGAAAACTGGTTGAGTATCTTGCTCAACGGAGGAAGTCTCTTTCAAAGAACATGGGGAATACAGCAATGCAGATGAAATCGTATCATACCCGAAACTGGATCTTTTTCTTTCAAAGAAGCAATGTACATCCTAGGTGTCTTGAATGAATATTGCAAGATAGCTATCTTAAATGTAGACATTTCCGTTTCGATACACCCCAACGTGACCGTGGGTTGGTAAGATGAATTAAAAAGCATAAAGCACAGTGAATGTAATTCCGAGGCTGGAAGAAAGAAAGGAAAAAAGTATTCAGTATCATGAAACCCCAATCACCTTCATTCTCTAGCGGGATATTATGCTTGCCCCAATATGTAACAGACAAGGCATAGCCAGGTGAATACGGCGGCTGCTAGGCGTCGCCTGACGAGACAAAGCTTTTATACACACAGACAGTCCGCAATTGGAAAGAACAGATCGCCAGCGAGAGGATCTGATTCTGCACCCAACTGAGGGCTTTACCGTACCTTTTGCCCCGTGAGAAAAGGAAGAGAGAGAAAAAGAAAAAATAAAGGCCCAGTATTCGCCTCCAAACACGCATGAACTATTAAAATGACGAAATGGAGAATGCATACATGTAACACTCACTTGAGAGCCATTAGTCTGTGCACTGAAGAGAAGCATGAGGGTTACCTAGGTACATACCTGCTGAGGAGGTAGATGCGGGTAGGCATACATCCCCTCGAACATTTGGGACTGGGGTTGTCCATATGCCGCAGTCGGGTCTGGCTGAACAGTACCTGGATACATAGCAGCCTGTGGGCGGTACTCCTGCTCTTGAAGACCGTGCTGACCAAGGGTGCCGTAGTCCGCAGGGCCCATGTGCTGGTGTGGTTGCACTCCATGAGGAGCCGATGGCAGTTGACCAGGAGCGGCAGATGGACCAGGAGCGGTAGCTGCTTGACTTGACCGTTTGGCATGAGAAGTTGCCTCTTCCCGAGGCACAATGTCAATCAAAAAGTCAAACATATCCGATTTGGACAGTGCGGCAGCAATGTCTGACCGCTGCAAAGTGCGACGCTTGTTATCTTCGGCATGGATCCAGGCACGCATTGTCAATTCAGTGATGAAGATATCGCAGCCTTTGGCAAACAAGATTGGCGCCTCTGCGGAGATCATCTTAACCTCCGGGTCTGCCTTCATCACCTTCTTGATGCGAGCCAGCGGCAATTGGTGGATCTTGTAGTCATGGTTGTCTGACTCCAGGTGATTGATGACATGTTGCCAGTAGGTCGTGAGGATATCGCGAGCGGTTCCCTGGAGACCTTGGTTCACCTAGTTCTGATAAGTATCAAAGCTCGACATCCATTGGGTCCAATAACTTACGTTGGCCCAGGTACCGGTGTACAACTCGGCAACTGGTGCATAGCCTTGCGCTGAAAGCTGTAAATATAAGTTAGCTGCTGTCCAGCCCGGGATGCTTCGCGTGATCATGGAAGATAAGCCGCGTGCGGCTCAAAGTGGTGAACATACCGCTGCACTGGCCCCTATAATTCATGAAAAGTCAGTATCTATTTAAACTCCCGTGTCCAAGTGACTGAAACCGAGCTAGCTGATTCTTCATGGAGCCCGTCGCGCAATGATCATGTTGGGACCTAATTACCGTAGTGACCCCCATTCCTGATATCATAGACAGGCTGCTGCTGCGGCTGCCTGGCCTGCTGTCCAGCGCCTTGAGGAGCTGGTTCCATGGCGAATTTTCTCTTTGTGATCAAGTGATATCGGCGTCTGAGGCAAATGCAAGTTGGGCAGTCACGGTGAAGCGGAGGAATGCGACGCGTGACCGGGAGGAGACGTGGGGCGTTTAGGGAATCGAAGGTTGCAAAACCGAGGGGGAAATGAGCGCCGCTATATGGTCAACAGAGAGAATATTCAATATCCTCAAGACAAGAGGACTGTTGTGTCGAGGCGCGTAGGGTGCCAAGCATGGAGGTGCTCAGCTGTCTGACGTTTCCGGGGGGCCCCCTCGGCGTATTTAGTTGGATAACGTTTGTACATCTACATAGGGCCGAATAGGCAGATTTCATGTCTGATTTCTTATTTGGTTTGAAGGAAGTGATTTAACGCGACACTCAAAAGTACAGGTAAGCAGTACATTTGTATACATTGATACATTGTTATACCTAGACCTTACTGGTGATTGCTCCGAGGCTTTCCTACAGCTGGATCGCAAGTACATCAGATAGATGTACTGGTACTTACTATTTGCCTCTAGATACAGGCCAACTCTTTGTACCTGGTACTTATTGCCGAGTTCCCTCTTCTCACGTGAGGTCCACTGTCGCACTAAGCAGAAATTTCTCATAAACGTTTGTCCGGTCCCGAGAAGCAACAAGCAAAGCTAGAAAAATATAAATTCCCTCCACTCACCTTACATCCTCGAGTTTCTTGCTATCCTCCCTGATCAGTAGGGATGGCAGACTCAACAGACATCCACCAGGATGTAGATCTGACTGATGATCAGATCCAGCAGCTTCTGCTTGAAGCAGAGACCCGATTGCAAGGTCCCGGTGCTGTGAGCACCACCGTCGACGATCTTACAGCTCCCAGGATTCCCAAATTATCAGCCGGGTCTTCCTTTGAGCCATATGTTCAGCAGGGGGATGATGTTGCTACTGTCGAAAAAACAAAGATCACCGACCCAAAGCAGAAGGCATTGTCCAACACACTCCACGCCGTTGGAACCAAGAAGTCGAATAAAGTGAGTCTACCAGTCACCCCACCTCTGTTTCCCCCGTGCTATGAGGAAAATTATCCCAACGCAAAGCGCTTGATGCAGCGTAACCGGTCCGTCTTGGGCTGTGCTGCACTAGTGAGAGCTTCATTTTCATAGTTACTCTGAGCACTCATCATAACTACTATCTCTTTTTTGGTGTATCATGTTTTAGACCAAACGCTAACATCATTCACCTTTGATAGGACAAGCCGACTGCTGGACCTGAGTGGTTCAACCTCCCGAAGACAGAAATGACACCAGAGCTGAAGAGAGATCTGCAACTTATCCGGATGCGCTCTGTGCTTGATGCTAAGCGACACTACAAGAAGGACAATGGCAGAGCGAAAGCGCCGGAGTTTTCTCAAGTCGGAACCATTATCCAGGGCCCGACTGAATTCTTCAGTAGTCGCATTGCCAAGAAGGATCGCAAGAAGAACTTTGTTGAGGAGACCCTCGCCGTCGAGCGCGGCAACAAACGCTTCCAGTCCAAGTACAGAGACATCCAAGCCACCAAGACAAGCGGTAAAAAGGCTTTTTACAAGGACCTGCAGGCAAAGAGAAGTCGGAAAAACAAGTGAAATTTCCATTTCTGCTCTCTTCAAGATATGCCAGGAACAACCATTTGACCCTGGCCATTCCAGTATTCTGGACTTGGTTTGTCACCCCCGTGATGTATACATATGACTGGCCACCCGTCCCATTTGTGGGCGCGCAGGCATCTATGTGCTTGAACGTCTATGTGCTTGAACCTCTATGTGCGCCACTAGGCTTGATGAAAGGCATTTACCAGGGATTGGACAACCAATTTCTAACTCGATGTCAGCTTGTGCTGCCTGGCATTAGGGCTACAGTGATCTCTCTTACCTGCATATCAAGGGCTGCCGCACGGCCTGCCTCCAGAACTTCTTCATGGCCTGCCTTGCCCTCTTCCAGTATGGCAGTCAGCTCGTCTGCTGCTTTGCCCTGGAGAAGATCTTCGTCTCCCCTAGGAACAGGAGACAACACGGCCTTGTTGGTGACTAGACTGAAGGCAAGCAGTCGGAGGCCACAATGCCTGGCGACGACAATCTCAGGTACTGTGGACATACCGACCACATCGGCCCCGAGCATTCGAAGCATTCGGCTTTCGGCTCTCGTTTCGTAACTTGTGGCCATCAGAAGCGAAATTTCAGGGATTGAAACATTTCAGGATCTACTTACGTGGGGCCTCCGACGAATGCATATACACCCTCGTGCAACTTTCTGTTGCTTTCTGGGAATATGACTGTCTTCCATGCTTGATGCACGTGGCGACGCAGCTCGAGATCATAAGCGTCAGACAAGGGTGGGAAACGCACTCCAAACTCTTCCTCGTTGGGTCCCCTCAGTGGATGGGTTCCTGCCAATCCCGCTAGGAACAGATGCTGTAAACCAGTGTTAGCAGTTTCCCACAATAGCTTAGGCAAGGTTTTCTTGCATCATTCAGCAAAACCAAATCTCCCACGGAGTAATCAGAATTAAGGCCACCGGCCGCATTCGTCACTGTCACATCATTAAAATTTGTTTTCCCATAATAGTAGAGTCATGTATAACTCACAGACAACCGTATCAACTCCCAGCTGCTTGAACACGCGAATTGGAAATGCCACTTGATCAATCGAGTGTCCCTCATAGTAACTAGGTCAAGGTCAGCAGTGGCAAGCAGACAGATTGTAGGAGCTTACTGGGCACGGCCAACCATCAACACTGCAGGGATTTTCTGGCCAAGGAACCCAAAGACCAGCTTCCCAGCATGTCCAGCAACTGTGATATGTTAAAATCACCGTCCCGGTTAAAGGAAGGCATCTAACCTGTTGAGCGTGGGAAATGAGGAATAGATCCGTAGTCATATTCAGCTCGTAGATCAGGGTGAATCGTATCTGCGAGTCCTCCTAGTCCTGAACCACATACAATTGCGACCTGCGGCTTTTGCAGGCCTTCTGGTAAGGTATTTCTGAGATGGGCAACTGCTTCGTTGGCCCGCTGGAACGAGGACGGGTCTGCCATTGTTGCTATGGTCAGGTCAAATGTCAAAAATATAGAAAGAAGAGTGTAGTTCTGTGAGGGTAAGAGGTGCGGAGTCACATGGTCCCATTCGCTTGGCGGGGCTCAAATGGATTGTGATAACAGATATTTCATATGAACGGCTTTGATTCTACGGCATTTGCAATCTAAGTAAGTCGAACGAAGCTATGTACTTGGAAGAGATGCAGTGCGTGCTGTCTATTAAAGGGCTAGTATATTGTGGTCTTATCTGGAACGACGGGCTCGCCGGTGTGGATGGCATAATTATAGAAACAGTATATCGTAATAAGAGATAGGATACCGGTGAACTCTCCAATCTACATCAAAGTGTGTGATTTTGTAATATCCCTTTGGTGCTATGCAGTGCAGTCTAACTGGGAATATATATAGAGACCGCGACAGGGTACATTTACGGGGGTTTTCGGCCACAGTAGAGAAAGTAGAGAAATTGAACCTGACAAAAGTGTATTATATGCACAGCTTGAATTATACATCCATGAATCCAGCAAATCAATACTCTACACAAAGCTTTAGGAAGATAGTCCGTACTGTAAGTTAGTCTCTATAGCCATCCTCACCGCCTTAGGTCACTCCCGAAAAAACCCATCGCCAACAACAACGGATCTTCCTCAATTTACGATTAACTATGTTCTCATATCAAGCGTCGCGCTCCTTACTTGGAGTGGGCAAGCGCCTCAGGGTATGCAATTGTCCCAATTGACTATCGGTACTACGCTGACAACTTCTGTACAGGTGCCTGTGCCATTCCGCTCTCTATCATCCCCAACCCAGACTCCGCCGGAGCAAGAGAAGACACCCGTAGCAGACCCAACGCCAACCCCTACACCAGCTGCTCCCGTGGAAGCCTCGCCCAAACAAGCTACCCCCGCGGCACCCGCTAAAGCAGCTCCTGCTGCTACAACCTCCGTGGCTGACACTGCGACGTAAGACATGCAAGTCTGGATAATTTGGCTTGTTGGCTGATGAAGAGTTGTTACAGATCAGCCAAAGATAACGAATCCTCCGAACCACGCGTGAAGGAATGGTGAGTGTTGGAGATGGATGACTCGAAGCCAATTGGTAAAGACCATAGCTTACAATGTCGCTAGGGCTGAACGGTTAGGAGCATTCGGCGAGGAAAGCCGACTGCCGCGAAGTGTGCAAGCGATATACCTACGGCCGCTCCGGAGGAAGGCAGAGCATGGACTTCCCGTTTGCGATCTTCAATTGCGATCCTACAGTGTCCGCAACGTCGAGTTCTTCGCAGACTTCGCTATCCGTGCCGCTTACTACCTCAACCTCCCCGTGTCCGGACCTGTGCCTCTCCCTCGCATCGTTGAACGCTGGACTGTACCCCGAAGCAACTTTGTGCACAAGAAGAGCCAGGAAAACTTTGAAAGAATCACTCTTCGCCGACTGATCCAGATCAAGGATGGAAACCCGCAAGCCGTGCAAGCCTGGCTTGCTTTCCTCCGGAAGCACGCGTTCTACGGTGTCGGTATGAAGGCAAATGTGTGGGAGACTGAGAGTCTTGGTATGCCACTTTTATTGTATTTCTTTAGTGATCGGGATACTAATCATCAATTCCACATCAGATGTTGCCAAGGATATGGATACCTCTCTCTCCGAGGTCGAAGAGACTCTTCGTCCTCACCTCGCACAATTCGGTCAGCGGAAGGACAACTCGGCTCCGGGCACAATATTCGACACCCTGGACAGCGAGCGGTTCACAGAGCGCAAGAACGTATAGATGGCAGGGTAACCTACAGCTCAATTCATATACCCGTGACCATCTAGACTCGATGTCCTTTGCTGCATGCTCTGTGTCTTCATCTGATTCAAAAGCTCTGATATGGGCCACATGTACTTTATTGTTTTACTATCCTATTCGACCCCAGATGCATAATGGGAGTTTACATATTTTGAAGATCTCCAAGTCTCACAACCTTGTCTCAGTGAAACCTAGCCTTATCTAACTTGGAATACTGATGTAAATGGAAATATTGCGAGATACGCAACAATAGAAATATAAAAAGCAACTGGCAGTCTCAATGTAAACGAGGCATTGTATGATATCAATCACGTGACGTGTCGTATTTTTTTCAGGACCATCGGGGCTACTGAATTGCAAAATATTGCACTTGGGAATTCCAATTCACATCTGTTCATCTTTTGAAGATGCGTGCCAATGCAATTCGCCATGGATGTACCTCATCTAGGTCCCTAGGTGGAAAACATACTCATGTCCCAAGCGGGCTCTCCCTTCTCCCAAGGAGATGTCACCGATGGAACAGCTCAAGCCCCAAATCCCCAGCCAAGGAGCCCGTTATATTTTCTGGAATCCAGCCAACTGGAGTTCCGCATCTGGGCAATTACCTTGGAGCCCTCAATGAATGGTTGAAACTCCAGCAAAACGCAACCGAAGGAACCAGGCTGTTTTTCTCTATTGTTGACCTCCATGCATTGACGGTGCCGCAAGACGCAGCCGAGTTGAAGAAATGGAGAAAAGAGGCATTTGCAACATTACTTGCCGTGGGGCTGGACCCTAAGCGCTCTACGATATTCTACCAGTCTGCTGTAAGTTGTCAAGAGCAAGCCGATCAGAAGTTACATTGACTAGTAACAGGTACCAGCTCACACAGAGTTAATGTGGATTCTAAGCACAGTGGCTTCTATGGGGTATCTGTCGCGTATGACACAGTGGAAGGTGAATCATCATGCTTTAATCTCTCTGGCCTTTGATTGACGTATTCCAGACCAAACTACAGCTGCCAGAAGATGCCACGCTTGATGACCAGACAGCACGAGCACAGCTGCGACTTGGACTTTTCTCGTATCCGGTGCTCCAGGCTGCGGATATTCTTATACACAGGTAGGCCACTCATTTGTCTTTGTCCATTCTCTGCTAATGACCACCAGAGCGACTCATGTCCCTGTCGGGGAAGACCAGAGACAGCATCTGGAATTCTCCAGATATACTGCTAACAGTTTCAACCACCTTTATGGCCCCATATTCCCTATCCCAGAGGCATTGATATGTAAGAAAATAACCGTCGCGCGAGTATGACCACGCAACTAACTAAACCAGCCCCTGCCAAACGGGTGATGTCCCTTAAGGAACCGACATCCAAGATGTCCAAATCACACGCTGACGAGCGATCCCGAATCATTCTCACCGATTCCCCAGATGTCATCCGCAAGAAGGTTAAGGTTGCCCTGACGGACTCGGAACCGTCTATCACATATGAACCTGCCCGTCGGCCCGGGGTATCCAACTTGATTGAAATACTGAGCCACTTTGAGGGTGTATCATGCGAGGATATTGCCACTGAATATCACAGCGCCAGCCTTCGATCGCTCAAGGAGCATGTTGGTGACCGAATTGCCTTCCATCTCCAGGAGATTCGAGAGCGATACGTTGGGCTCATGGACGACAAGACCGGCTACCTGGAATCTGTCGCAGAGGATGGAGCCGAAGCCGCGCGTGCCAACGCCCGGGTGACCATGAGGCAAATTCGTGATGCGATGGGCCTGTAGGCTATAACATATGTAGAATAGTATAAGATAACATGGTCGCCTTGCGAAGTACCTGTGCCGACAGCACCAAAACTGGTTCGGACATAAAGAAAGTGGCGTTGCGAAGCCGAACGAGGCTGGGGCAGTGGAGCGTCATCCATCCGCGTCATCCTTTTGTGTTCCCCACTTGCATGCGACCATTTTTTTTTTGATTTTCTTAATTATTTCTTAGAGACATACAGAGTATTCTGTAGATTGAGCGAGGTTCCGAAGACAAGAGATCATGACAGGGGTATAGTGTACAGTGTAGTGTGTTGCATGTAGCGTGTAGTATGTAGTATGTAGTATGTATTAAGCGTCAGATCTATAGTCAACTCGGATCTCGCGGGTACGAGGTCACATCGTAGACTAGTGACGACAACACAGCCGTTTCAGGAAATCTGTACATAAATTGCATGCTCTGGTCCACTCTTGGTGAATCCGTGAACCCCATCGGATATCATTTCCTTCCTTTCCTTTTCTTCCTCGAATTCATCTTTGGAGATCTTCGCACCTTCAGATCTCTCACATTCTTGGATCGACAATGAGGCACACATGGATCTTATTGGCCAGCCTTATGCCAGCCTGGGGCTTGACGCTGTACCAGCGCGACAATCCTGCTGTGGTGCAAATGGACATTCAGCGTAAAGATGTTGTTGATCTAGTCACCAGGGATCGGAGGAGAAAGCGTTCTTCAACTGTCACTCAACCTTTAGACAATGAGGTACGACATGTGTGAACCTCTCAATATTTCACCACTAATGTGTCTGCCCAGGAAACGTTATACTATTGTAATATCACTCTGGGAACTCCCGAACAGAGCTTGCGTCTCGTCATCGATACGGGAAGCAGTGATCTATGGTGCAATACGCCAAATTCGACTCTTTGCGAGTCCTCCGCCGATGCCTGCCGCTCATCTGGCACTTACGACTCGAGTTCATCTTCTTCATATTCCTTCGTGTCGTCAGACTTCAACATCAGCTATGCCGATGGGTCCGGAGCCGCCGGTGACTATGTGACCGATACCCTCACTATCGGACAAACCACTATCAAGGACTTCCAATTTGGTGTTGGTTTTTCCTCCGGCTCTTCACGTGAGTGATATTCTGTCTAAGTTCAGTGGTCACACGGCTAATCAGTTTGTTCAGAGGGTGTACTAGGCATTGGGTATGCTTCAAATGAAGTGCAGGTTGGCACTAACGGTGACCCGGCTTATGCCAACCTTCCCAGGGCAATGGTCGAGAATGATGTGATCAAATCCAGTGCATACAGTCTCTGGCTGAATGATCTGGATGCGAGCACAGGCTCCATTCTGTTCGGCGGAGTCAACACCGCGAAATTCCACGGCACGCTACAGACCCTGCCCATTGAGAAGGTCGGTGGACAGTACTCTGAATTTATCATTGCCCTCACTGGACTTGGCCTCCAGAACTCGTCGGGTCATCACGCCTACTCCTCGAGTGCACTCCCTGCAGGTGTGCTCCTGGATTCGGGAAGCTCCCTCACATATCTCCCAGACGCCCTTGTTGAGGATATCTATAGCGACTTGGAGGTTACTTACGAGTCCTCCAGTGGAATTGGCTATATTGAATGTAGTATGGCCTCGAGGGATGTCAATATCTCCTACACATTCTCGTCCCCAACGATTACCGTGGGACTTAACGAGTTGATTATTGACGTGGGTGATCTCTTCTTCCGCAACCGCCAGCGAGCATGTGTCTTTGGTATTGTTCCTGCAGGAAGCAGTACCTCGGTTTTGGGAGACACTTTCCTGCGCAGTGCCTACGTGGTATACGACTTGGCTAACAATGAGATCTCTCTTGCCAACACTAACTTCAACTCCACCGAGAATAACATCTTGGAAATCGGCACTGGCACAGATTCGGTTCCTAGTGCTACCGCAGTTGCGAATGCAGTGACTACCGCGCCTATCGGTGGTTCTGGGGCTCGCATTGGGGGTCCAGATGGAGGATCAGGTATCTTCACCACAATCTCTGAGACTGGCAATTGGGCTGTGCCAAAGGCGACCGCTATGCCAAAGCATCTGGCTTTTGGAATTGCCGGTGCTGGAGCTCTGCTGGCCCTGTAAAAGATCAGCTTATGGATCCGTTTGTTTAGATGTTTGATTTGTTGCATTTTGTGGTGTATTTGGAGTCCGACTGGCTATACCTGGATTTATTTCTTGTTTATCCCATTAGTATGTGTTATGAAATGAAGACTATTTAAAAAGTATCCAATCAAAAGGACATCTGGGCATGTAGCAGATAGTTGATGTGAAGCAGTCACTTTATGCTTCGGGTGACCCACATCTCTTGGCACAGAAGTTGATTTGACACCCATGGTCAGCTCCATCTATCCCCAGTTTCCAAAATGCCTCGTATACCGTTTTCTATGATATTAAAGGCTCACCAAGAGGACCATCTGCTTCCTCTACTTCTCAAAGAATGTCGTACTATCGATTCTGCTCGCAATGAGCTTCGCTGGCTGCGCGAACGAGCAGTTCGCGATAGCCAGTCGCTTTCAATATTCAAGTCCGGATGGAGGACTCGATTAAGATCTATGTGTCAACTGCGATCCAGAGGATATCCTCTGCAATATATCCTGGGAGACCAACCCTTTGGTGATCTGGAAATCCTCTGCAAAAAGGGTGTTTTGATTCCCAGGTATGCCCACATTTCTCAAACAGCGATACTTCTCACTAACTTCCCTAGGCCAGAGACTGAATCATATACATACCAGGCCGCCAAGTTAGTCCACCAGATGGCCCTGGATTCTAGTGACAAGTCCAGACCACCTAGCAGCGCCAGACCCCTGCGCGTAATTGATCTTTGCACAGGCACAGGGTGCATACCACTTCTGCTGCACGCATTACTTGCACCTCATTTCCAGAAACTGTCAATTACAGGGATAGACATCAGCCCCTTAGCATTGAGCCTGGCGCAGAAGAACCTCGAGCATAACCTGCAACTGGGTCAATTGACATCCCGCGCATCAACGGATATCCATTTCCACCGCAGCAATGTCCTGGGGAATGGCAGTGATGACTCAATACTATCGATCGACTCAATTCTCCAACCCTATTACCTGGAATCAGGTTCTTCACTTGCAGATCAAAGTGGCGGCTGCGATCTCTTAATATCCAACCCACCTTACATATCGCAGAGTGAATTCGGAAACGGGACCACTGCACGCAGTGTAAGACTCTTTGAGCCCAAGATGGCACTTGTGCCTCCATCATTGGTTACTGGAGATGAACCCGGCAGGCCTGAGGATATTTTCTATCACCGTATTCTCGCTCTGGCGTTTAAGTTGAGGGCTAAGATTACCGTCCTGGAGTGTGGGGATATCCTCCAAGCCAAGCGGGTTGTTGCTCTTTATGAAACACTTGCCTCTAGGGAGTCGGGTCAATTCAGTGCAGAAGTCTGGCCAAGTTGTGAGCATGACTTGCTTGAGAATGGATTCCATGCCACTGATGGGTCGCGGGGTGTGATTATTCGGAGATTGCCTTAGGGTTCTCTGGGCTTGATGCATAGCTATGTACTATAATATATTCCAAAGACCAAGTCGATGTATTTAGTTGCATGTCTTGTTTCATAGTTCACATATAGTATACATTGATAGCCTGCCACGGCCACATGAATCCGTCACACGGAGGAAATCACAAATCAAGCTCTTAACAAAATGCATTCTGACCGCCATGATGGTAATGTAAAAAGTTATGTACAGAATGGGGAAGACCACCAGCAGGCCACGGTGCTGGGGGTCACTTTTGGGAGTATTAAAACCGATAGGAGTGCAGGGGTAATTAACGTATTTGAATCATCAAGGGTAGCAAGGAATAACACCAGATCTAGAAAGAGATCGAAAAGGAGATCCCAAAATAGGATGTCAAACGACCAGTCCGTCTATTGGTGAATTTCGAATGCAGCTTAGAACCGGTAAGCATTTGCAAGACCTGGAAGTCGGGAAGAGAGGAAAGTGTTTTCGTCGTTTCAAAGGTTCTTCTTCTTGTCGGACGAGTAACTGCGATCGTCTTCTCCCTCGACATCCTTGAGAATAGTCTCCATCTCCTTGGCTTGACGCTGCCACTCCTTGTCACCCATTTTGGTCTCGCGACGGAAAAGCTCCTCGTTGGGCTTGCGGTAGCTGCCACCCAGACGGTCCCAGAAGGTAGTGAACTGGCCGTAGTTGTAATTGAAGTACAGGTGGTGCATGGTGTGGCAGGCTGCACCGTTCACGATGGGACTGTTGGCAACGTACTCGCCGTCGTGAATAAAGACGGTCCAGAGGTTGATAAATCCGAACAGGAAGACGTAGGCCATCTTCTGCAGGGGGAAGAGGAAGGGGAAGACGTGGTAAGGCACACTCTGGGACCAGCCGTCGAGCGGGTGGAAAGCGTGAGAGGCGTAGGGACTGGGCATGATCCACTTGTGGTGAGGCTTGTGGAGGGTCTTGTAGACGCGGGGGTGGTGCAGGCCGCGGTGGATCCAGTAGATAAAGAAATCGGTGAAGCAGATGAAGAAGGGGAATTGGATGAGGCTGTAGAATGGGAAAGGCTCTTCAGCGGCGGTGTCGTAGAGTTTGGCATATCCGCGGACCTCAAGAACAAAGAACGGGGCTGTCAACAGAGCCATTGGGGGCATGGCACCCATGGCCTGCTTGATTTCCAACCGAATCTGGTTCTTGAGGAATTTGGGGTGATTGTAGGTTGTCTTGTCCCAGATGAAGACGTACGATAGCGAGGCAACCACGAAGTAGACCAAAAGTCCAAAAATCCTGTTTCAATTATGTTAGCTTTGTCGCGGAAAGGTGGCGACTGGGAGAATCTGGCGCATACCAAGTAATCAGGAAGAAACTGGTGAATTGGCGGTACATGTTGTTTCTAGGCCAAACACTCAAGTAGGCATACTTGGAGGGTTCCAAGTAAATCATCTGTGTCGCCTGTTCGTACACAAAAGGTTCCGCGGCGCCAAACAGGGCCAGGGAACTGTTGGCCGCATTGACGAAAGCCGGGAAAGAAACAGACGACGAGAGCGACGCGGGGAGAAGCGAGGAATAGAGGCGATCACCAATGAAGGTGTCCCATATTTCGAGAATGATATCCATGATGGGCGATTTCACGGATACGTGGGAGAGAGTGAGTTGGTGGGAGGGATGTACTTGGAACAAAAAAAGGAGACACGGCGAATAATAAATGGCTCCGGCCAGTCACACCAGCGCGGAACCGCCACAGCCGTTGATGCTCCCTTAATCAGCCAGGGGTATACAGATGGCCTGACTTTGTAAATGAGGACGATTGGCTTGATTATAGTAATATTTCTCTCTAATCTCTTCTAATCACATCATGCCATACAATTTCGATAGACCCTTGCCACCAAGGCCTTGGTGCCTTGGTGCCTGAGACCGATGTTCCGCCTAATATTTCAGGCGAGAATAGTTCTGGAGCCCCAAGTAGTCGGAAGTATCTCTCGGCGGTGAGATTGGTGACGGATACCTGGAGGTACACGGCATCTTCGGTACCACTTTTGGCCGTACTCAGAGGTACCTCCACTGCCCGCACTGGCGTAGATCCAAGTATCCATTCATCTCAACATACTTATTGCCAACATGTATAGATATAGATATAGATATTTAAATTATATATTCATATTTATAGATATCTATTTTCAGTACTAAATGATTAACATTAAAATATAGAAAAAGTCAAAAGTCTGAGCATAAATTAATCATCATTTTGCAAACGGAGCGCTTCTCGCTTCTGGCGTTAATCGCTTGCCGCCTCCAACCTTCCCGCAACTGTCACCAGCCTCTTCCCCCTCTTACCGCTACCACCTCAATTTCCCACCTCTATCATTTCGCTTACTATCGCTGTGGCTAGCTGCGCGGTGAATTCCACCAAGCAGCATTGACGCCTCAGTGATCGATTTGGATCTCTGGAATCCCTATCGGCATTCAAAGCTTCCATCTAAATATCTTGTCTCTGTCGCTGCTTCTATAGGAATCGATCCCCCAGCGCAATGTACAACACTCATCGCGGGATGGTGCCCGCTCCCAACTCTCGTCTGACGGAGTTGCTGGATCAGCTGCGTCAGGAGTTTGAGAGTCAGTCGCGCAGCACCGGCGAATTCGAGCACCAGTGTATGTCCCTTCCTGTGCCTCCTTCAAACGGTTATTCTCTGGTACTCCCCGGGCCTCGTGCGCCTGGGAGCTCCTAATGTCCAACCAATTCGTTCAAACAGCTGCCAGCTATCTTTCGATGACTGCCGCGCCATGGGTTGCAACATTCGCTGAAATGTTATCTAACTGACAGATCACGCAGTGACCGGACAGCTCCAAGAGATGGAGATGATCCGTCAAAAGGTTTTCCAATTGGAACAAGCTCAGGTCAAGATCAAGCAGGAGTTCGTTCCCCCCCCTGTGGCCATCGAAATATTCTATCGCTGACTCCCTGCTTGCTTTAGCTACGAGACCGAAATCCGAATGTTACGACACGAACTCGAGTCGCGCGGCGTCCAAACCATCCCCTCTCACATCGGTGGTCCCGCCGCAGCCCATACAGCTCCTTCTCAGGCTCCCCCGCCTGCATTGGGTCACGGCCCCAGCAATCTGTTTGGTGGTATCATGACCAACCCACCAGGTAGTGGCCCCGGCCTTGCCCCTCCCCCTCCCCAGGATCAGCAGCCTCCCCAGCATGCCCTTCAACAACCTGCTTCGGCTGCCCAGCCCGGTGCGCCGCAACCCTCGCAGAGTTCTTTTGGAGGATATCAGGCTGGCGCTGCTGTGAACGGTATGTCGTTAAAGGCAAAGGGATTGTCGCCGAGTCGCTAATCCGCTTTATTTCTCTTCCCCAGGCTATGGACCTCCTCCCCCGACTGCATCTCCCGGCCCCGGTAAGGGCCGTGGGCGTGTGCCCCCGGGCCCAGCCACCCCCCAGCAACAGCACATTGCCTACCCGGATCCGCGTGCGTCGCCTCAGATCCCTCGCCCAACTCCCCCGAACCAGACCTCTCTCCCCCGCGAGCGCCCGGGAAACATGCTGGCCAACTGGAACCCGGATGAGTTGCCTGCGTCGCAAAAGCGCGAGGGGCCAGATTGGTACGCTGTTTTTAACCCAGAGGTGCAGCGTGTCCTCGACGTGGAACTGGTTCACCACTTGAACCACGACAGCGTCGTCTGCTGTGTCCGCTTCAGCCGCGACGGCAAGTACCTGGCTACCGGTTGCAACCGCTCAGCTCAAATTTTCGATGTGACTACGGGTCAGAATGTGGCCACTCTCCAGGATGAGAATGTCGACAAGGACGGCGATCTGTATATTCGCAGTGTTTGCTTCAGCCCTGACGGCAAATACCTTGCAACCGGCGCCGAGGATAAGCAGATTCGCGTAAGTTTGAATTACTTCACCCCAACATAAATAGATCACTGACTAAATCTAATGGGCTTTTAGGTCTGGGATATCAACGCACGCACCATCAAGCACATCTTCTCGGGACATGAGCAGGACATTTACTCCCTGGACTTCGCCGGCAACGGCCGATACATCGCCTCTGGCAGTGGAGACAAGACTGTGCGTCTCTGGGATATACTTGATGGCAAGCTTGTCTACACTCTCAGCATCGAAGATGGAGTCACCACTGTCGCTATGTCTCCGGATGGCCACTACGTGGCTGCCGGTTCGCTGGACAAGAGCGTTCGTGTGTGGGACACTACGACCGGATACTTGGTGGAGCGTCTGGAGAACCCGGATGGCCACAAGGACAGTGTATACTCGGTTGCATTCGCGCCCAATGGCCGAGACCTGGTCAGTGGCAGTCTGGACAAGACTATCAAGCTCTGGGAGCTTACTGTCCCGCGGGGCATGCACCCCCACAGCGGCGTCAAGGGCGGCAAGTGCCTGCGCACTTTCGAGGGTCACAAGGTTTGTAGATCTCCCAATTTTCCTCTTGGTAAAGCTAATTGAATCTAGGACTTTGTGCTTAGCGTGTGTCTGACCCCCGACGGTGCCTGGGTGATGAGTGGTTCCAAGGACCGCGGTGTGCAGTTCTGGGACCCGGTGACTGGCAATGCCCAGATGATGCTTCAGGGCCACAAGAACTCTGGTCAGTCTACAGCCCTCTCTCTACATAACATGCTCTAACATTGAATAGTCATCTCGGTTGCGCCCAGCCCCACTGGCAACCTGTTCGCGACCGGCAGTGGAGACATGCGTGCGCGGATCTGGAGGTGAGTTGTTTCTCCGAACATTGTTTCAGAACGTGCTGACTCCTTTCTAGATATTCGCCGTACACTGGACGATAGGGTTGATACTAATGCCTTTGGCGCAATGTGCCGTTTTGCTTTCGTGTGCCGGTTTTTGGGGCTTGGAATTCTTTTATCTCGAATTTGTCTTTTCTTTAGTGTATTGAACAACGTGTTCAAATCAAAATGCGATGTTCATAAATACTATAATGGGGATTATAGAGAGAGGTGTAGAGGGTAGAGCGTAGTTGGTAACACGGGGACCGGCATTTTGGACCGAGCTGAATTCCAGGAGAATCAACTATCCCAACTACTTGATCCCTGTCCGTCTGAATCACCACAGAGCCTCGCATGACCTTAGGGTACTATTACCTGGTTATGTGCAGAGGTGGCAACTTGCCTAGACGGAATGGGTCAAGACAGTCTACACATTAGCTCGCCCGATCAGGAAGCAGTTCGTCAAGACTAGTCGCATCCCTGCAGGAACCATTACTGATACCTCTCGTGTCAGAGCACGGCTGTCACTTTTCGGATCCTTCCAGTGATGGAGCTAAGGCCACTCGCAGTGATCGACACGAGACAAGCCATCTGGGAAGACTACTGCCCAATGGTGCTTCGACCTCCAGGGGGGTGTGTTTTCCAACAACGCGCCCACTCTCCCCAAAGGAGAAACTTGCACCCGCTGAATCTCGGTGTGGAGAGAAGCACCATCTCTAGAGACAAGTGATTGGTGATTACTCCGAGCGAGATTCAGATCACGAGGGCTCAAAAGAATTTCCGGGGCCTTGGGCGGCTAGCTGGGATATTCGATGGGCTGAGATCGGACACTATTGGCGACTATCGGGATGGCGCATCCTGGTATTCGTAATTACGGCCCACGCTGACCACTGAGCAATGAGGAATTGCTGACTCCGAGATCGACTGAATTATCTACATGTCAACTGCAGGTCGATCACGGTCCACTTGAGAATTCCGCGATGAGGGCCGGCCCGTCCTCGAGGGTAAAGCACGGTGCTTTGAAGTCGTGTTTCTTTTCTTTTTTTCCCTTGAGATTCGGGGACTGACAGGTGTCAATCTCTTCAGATATAGTTACACAGAAGAGCCGACAATGAAGGGCGAAACGAGCTGAGGTCTTTCGCCAGTCGCGGCTGCGAGTGTTCTGGTGCAACACGACTTCTCACCGAATGGCTACAATACATTACCACTAGTTGAGCAATTCCTCGTGGGACAGAGAAGTGATGCGTCCAAAGGCCATGCATCTGGGAAGAGCCAAACCTATGCATGCAACCTGTATGCTCCAGGAACTCCAGTTCGTCCTTGATTTGATTTCTTGATCCTATTTTATGACTATCTCTTTTCCGGTGGAGTCAGGTCGCCTCAATCACCCAGGATCCCCGGCCCACGGAGATCGTCGAATGAAAGCCCCGGCGTACTGTACAATGCATGTATCTGGCCTCGAACTGCGCTCCCCTTTTCCTTCATTACCAAACGTCATACAGATGATCAGTATGGGGCTTTTCGACTCTCTCACCGGCTGACTCCTCCCCCTGTCGCCCCGCCTCTCATTGCATTAGGCCCTGCTATATCTAGATCGAGAGACGCCACGGTTCGATGCGGATGATCACCACTAGTTGTCAATCATTATATCCTTTGCACTCTTCAGTACATGTCCTGCATATATTTGCTATTTCCTCCCACCCTCTCCTTCATCTGTATATATAGATCCGGATCTATACCAATCAAGACCGATTGCGCTTTGGCCGGCCTGGTTGTCTATTTTCTCCATCCTTGTTCCTCTTGAACCCAAGGCAACTCGCTGCTAGCCAGAACCCAAATATCACTGTCGGGGACCAAGTTGAAGATCACAGTGCTAGACAAACCAGAGAAAAGGTGCGCATTCTGAGTTATATACATTTGGTATACATTGGTATCTGGCGGGAGATCAGGAGGCTTAGGAGACGGTATCCTTGCCTTTCTGAACACTACCAAGAGCCTGAGACGGAAAACTGTGGTGAACTGTGTCCCAGAAAAGATGGAGACCGCAGAACCAGTGTCTTACGAGTTCCCCGGCCATGCTGTGGGTGCGTTTGCACACAGGCGCCCGATGGACTTGACCCTGAGCCAGAACATCCCCTTCTACTCGCATCCTACAACGGCTTCATACTCGTTTCCTTACCAGGCACCGAATGGTCTGCCCTACAACTATGGTCATCCCGTGGGCCATGCACACTCGAATCCATACCAGCATTACTTTGTCCCTAGTCAGCATCACCCGGTTCAGCATCAACCACTGCGTCTTACGACGGAGCCCCAACCGTTGCAGTCTCTTCCTCAGATCCGTCCTGCGAAGAACGCCATCAGCCAGCCGGCAAAGTCTCCTACAGACCATGATTCCGGGATGCAGACCACGGGCGCTGGCCACAGTTCCCCGGATGGGGCTCACGAGACGAAACCAAGCCCTTCTGACATCGCGTTCTCGACAAATGTGGATGTCCTGATGAAGGCAATCCAGGCAAAGCACAGTTCATCACCGCATCAACACTCTCTACCACCCCTTCAACACCTGGCGCCTGCTTCCCAGGTCTACCCCATGACCACGTACCCGGTAGCCTCGCCCACGCCACCCCGCTACTACCTGGGCAGCGAAGGACAATTATCTCGCTCTGGAAAGAAGCGCAAGTATACCTGCACGCTATCCGGTTGCGGTAAGAGCTTTGCCCAAAAGACACACCTGGACATCCACATCAGGGCACACACCGGGGACAAACCATTCGTGAGTACTCATTACAGGATCAGCGGGTGCGATCATCAACTAACCGAGGTGGATTTGGCAGATCTGCAAGGAGCCCTCGTGCGGCCAACGCTTCTCACAGCAAGGCAACCTCAAGGTAAGCATTGCCCCCTCAGCTGAAAAGCTGACGCACCATGAGACCGTGACACACGAGGCAAAGAGACTAACAGGCAGCCAACTTTCTAGACCCATCAGCGGAGGCACACAGGTGAAAAGCCCTTCCAATGTGAAGAATGCGGCAAAAGCTTTGCGCAGCGAGGCAACGTCCGCGCCCACAAGCTCACTCATCAACGAAAAAAGCCATTTAATTGCCTTCTGGATGAGTGTGGTAAGCAATTTACCCAGCTGGGCAACTTAAAGGTAAGCAAGTTCTCGGTTTCATCTTCCGGGGTTCAGTGTGCATAGATGTATATATCTCGACTTTACATGAATCCAAACTAACACTTACCCCTTAAACAGTCCCATCAAAACAAATTCCACGCCGCCACACTGCGAAATCTCACCCTCCGCTTCTCGCAAATCGGCGAAAACGGGCCCGTGAACCCAGGCGACCGCGAGCTGTGGGAATACTTTGCGACATTGTACAAGAACAGCAACAAGGGTATCAAGGGCCGAGGCAAGGATCGACGGATCTCCATGACGAGACGATCTGATGGCTGCGGCTCTATGGATCGAATAGCCTCAGTTGAATCCGAGGAGGGCTCTAGCAAGATGATGCGCCGTGAGAGCTTTGAGGATAATATGTCTGCTTATAATAGCTCCAGCAGTGATGGGGGCGATGCTGACCAGTACTATATGGATCGGAGGGTTCATTACCCTTGATGTCCTTGTCCTCAGTCTATACCCTCGTCTGGTTTGTGTTTTGAGCATCATCATAAAAAAGAGCGGGTTTTCGATACTCTCTATGTATATCCCCTTTGATTCCCACTTTTGTTTCTTGTTGATTCCCCCTGTGATCTGGTTTCTATCCCTAATCCTCTGCGTTCACTCTGTTTCTTTTATTTTGGATATGCGAAAGCGCTGTATACTGGACAGTGCCGGTTCCCCATCTTGACACACTGCGGGTTTCATTTCTTTCTATGTTTTGCTTGTTCTCTTTCATTTAAGACTCAAGATGTATATGATTCACGAGGTACAGGTCTTTCATGTATGTATTCTAGCTGGTCTTTGGTCTTGGGGTATCCCGTTACCAGCATTGTCTTACACTGTTTGAATAAAAAGGGGCCTCGGGAAGTACATTGGTTCTATCTTTTCGATCTATGTCTACATGAATTATTTTAATAATTGGCCATTAGACTCCTCCCTTGCAGATGTGAGCTGTCAGCGTGTAATGACACGAGTGTGTATTTCATTACTTTTTTAGGCCTGTACGACATTTCAGCACGAGGTGCAGTGTCTTTCTTTTCTTTTTTTTTTTCGGCAAGGCCGCAAGGGACGACGAACCAGTTATCAGATTCAGCCCTGGATATGAGAAGTTAGAGGCGAGGCCGATGTGTATAGGCTAGACGTCCGCAGCCAGACAATAATATTTAGCTGGCTATCCTTCTTTACGTTGCAATATACTGATAGCCCTTGGATGATTATGAGGCGCCGCGCTGAAAGGCACTTTAGCATTATAGTCTCGAAACCACTCTCGGGAATGGTCAAAAAAGTAGGTTGGAAGTCCGCCGTTTTGATAGAGTAAGAGTATCCCAGGAAAATGTATACGTTTAACATTAGTATAAATGCCAGGATGATAGCTTCAAGAGAGATCTTTCATTTTTCTGTCGAAGGGCTTGACTTTAGACCAAGCCCGGAGATAAGTGTACAATACAGAGTAGGAAAGGTAGAAAAGACAAAATAACTCTTCAGGGCGTAAATCATCGGATGACACAACAGAGATTAATGCGAGAGATCAACACATTCCAGTTGTTACCTGCAGGTAAATGAAGTCATGTACTGACTCTACTGCCCATCAGCATCGGCAATGTCGAGATCTCCATCCGCAGCATTTTCCTGCTCAGGAGCAACAGTTCCGAGAGGAGTAGCATTAGCCAAGGCATCGGTGATAAAAGTCTCTTCGACCGCGGCCTTCCTGCGGAACACGCGGAGCCAGCGACGGCCCCATTGGCGGATAATGGCATCTTCAGGCAGATCACCGCTGCCGTCACCGCGCTCCATCTGCTCGTCGTTGCTTCCAGCAGCGACGGAGACAATAGAGTCCTCGATGAACTTGAAGAGGGTCTGCATATCGGCACGCTCACGGACCAGAGTCTCGTCGATGGCGGTCAGCTGGGGCTCGTAGAGACCGGGTTGGGTGCGAGCAGCGACGATCTGGCGCATGCGGTTGGTGACCTTTCCAACGGTAGCGGAGATCATCTCGAAGATGTGGGCCTTGGAGAGGATGGTTCCGGCCGCGACGGACTCGGAGAGGGCCCACTCGAGGACGGAGAGAGGGCTGAGGATTGTGTAGTTCAGCAGCTTGTCGGTGATGTTGATGGCGATGCCGGGTTGGTCGGCCCAGTACTCCATGACCGAGGTGATGATCTGGCAGCGGGCACGAGGGGATTCGGTTCCGAGGGCCAGGAGACGGTCTTTACTGCGTTCGATGCATGACAAGACATGAGAGAGGGATTTGGAGCCGACGAAGCAAAGAGAGGTGACAAACGCGTCTGTTGAGGGAATCTTGGGGTCTTCGACGCCTTGGCTCTTAGCTTGTTCTTCGATGGCGGCGATCACGGGCTGAATTTCTTCATCTGTGGCCTTCTTGCGGATCAGTTGCATGATTTCCTGTCCTTCTTTAGAGTATGGAGTCACTGGATGTATGTTAGTGACTAATACCTTGGAATGTTCAAGAGGTACCTACTGTCGGAGGAATATTTGAACTCGGGAGTATCCTTCTCTTTGCCTGGCGTGATCAGCTTAGGGTAAGGCTCTGGGAGAGTCCCCTTAATACGCTGAGCGAAGCTCAACCGAATCTCCTTGTCCAAAGCGCCAGTGATGAACGACATTCTTGGGTCAATGGCAGGCAGATCGAGGTCGTCAGCCCTAAAAGATGTTAGATAATTTGATGGCCTTGCAAATTCGAGTCAACTTACCATTCGCTCCATTTCCAGGTGAAGCCGAAGTTGCTCAGATGGTGAGCGAACCAATCGAGGAAACGGTTGCTCAACTCCAGATCCATCGTCTGCAGGCTGTTATACAAGAACCGGATCGCACGACCCAAGCTGGGTGCAATTGCCGCCGGGGCGATCTTGCAGCACTCAGTGAGAAGGGAATGATAGTAAACAAGTTTGTGCTCTGCGGCTGGCAGCTGGAATAGCTGCGAAAACACAGCATCCACAGCCACATCCTCTGGCTTCCAGGCCCGCTGTTCTTCCGGGATGTCGCGCATTCGGTCGAAAGGCGTGGCACGCTTAATGAATGTGTAAGGAGTGAAATAGCAGTCGAGATCGATCAGGAACTTGGCCGTGGCAACACGGTTGAAATCAAGAAGGTTGATAGTATCAACCAGTGCATCTCTGATGAGTGACGAAGAGATGTCCGAGGTCGAAGGTACGGTGTCGATTTCTTGGTTGGCATACACCGAAAGGTAAACTTCCGGGAAGAGAGGGTGCGAGCCGTTTGGTACGGGGTTGGGCACAGTAATTTCAGGGAAGGGGACCTTGTTCACCGATTCAAATGACTTGAGCTCATCGGTCTCACTGTCGCGGATGTCTTTCCAGGGACGAGGAAGACACTTAAGCTCCCAACCCCGGCTGGCCTCTCCTTGAAGCTGGGATTGCATCAGGCTGATAACACTGGATCCAGCAGCCGGCTTGTCCTCCTCTGGACTGAATGTGTTGACAAGATCGACGAGAGCATGTGGTGTAGACGCAATGATATCGGTTTTCTCGAGGAGCGCGGAAGCCTGAGCCTCGAAGCCGGTAGCCGGGGAGAGCATCACATAAGGAAGGGTGAACTGAATGATCTTCACAAGCTCGAGACCAAGAAGCTAAAGCACCGTTAGAAGAGTTCCATAATCATAGGTCAATGGATCGACTTACATCCTCCGAAGAAGCAGTCTGGAGATCGACGGCACGGGCGAACAGCTCCTCCAAGAGCGGGAAGATACCCTCACCCTCATAGACCGGCTGCAGAATACCCAAGAACCGAATGAGAAGCTTTACCTCACGCCATGCGCCAGTATCAATGTATTTCTGCAATGCCTCGCCGGCCTTGCTCAAAACCTCCGAACCAAGCTCAGGCTTCAGACTGTGGGCGACCAGGACAGCACCGGCGATAAAGGGAGTTTTCATGGGTTGTTCAAGGACGCTGCACAGACCTAATTAGCAAATGCAATATCGAATTGAATCCACCAGCACATACAGATCAAGGGAGATGTTGACAAAGTCGCGGCGAATTTCCTCGTCGTCATAGTTCTCGGAAACGGTCTTCGCGATGCTTTGAATATCATCTTCGACTCTCCGAGCAGCCTATTAACGAACCCACAGCGTTAGCACAAGCAATCCAAACCAGTAGAGCGCAATGCGCGCGAGCAAATGGAAGGGAAAAAGAGAACCATACCGACTCCGCAATGGTCAACAACTGGCGCCGGACCTGAACAAACAGCGGCTCTTCATATCTGCGGCGCTGGGGACGGCGATCGAAGTCATCGTCATCTGTGAATATCGCAGGCGGAGTCAGTATATATGAGAAGCATGTTGAAAGCGCGTCTCTCACCTCTGTAGCGGCGTTTGCGCCCACCCCGGTAGCCTTGGTTTCGGCGGTCGTTCTCGGCCATTGTGGGTCAACTAAACGATCCGGGAGTCCAGATGCTGAAAAAACAGTGGATCTGTAAAGGAAGTTGGCAAAGCGAGGGTGACAGCTTGAGAGCTTGAGGTAAATGGGGAGCTCGGAAGGGGGAAGTTCCGGCCCGGGTACGCTAGCCCGATTTATTCATCCTGACTCGCTTTGTTCAGTATTACGATACTAAATATTGTACTACTGGGAATCCTTCTCATACCCCTATGATCTCTTGGACAGGCCCTTATATCCATTGTCTCGGCCAAATATCCTGCTAGGGATTTTACATGGGGCGTTTGGCCGTTATGTTGGCCAGTTTGTTACATTTTCAAAACTAGGGGACGATAGTCCTCAGGAGAATGAATGAAAGTAAGACATATCACCCATCCTATATTCGTAGCTCCTAAGTCAGATGTACTTGCGCTTAGCCCTAACTAAACTTGCATATGCTCTTGTACTCTTGACTAGATGATTGAGGGATTGAACCCACGTTAGAAAAGAAATTTAGGCTCGTCAGCAATTAAATAGCTGGTCAATAGATCGACAGTCACGAACGACAGACCCAGCAATGCACAGATACTTACATCTATCAGCGCCCCGATCCCAAGTCTTGAGACCTCTCCCTGCATTTTCAACTCTGATCTAAAATCTTCGCTCTTGTCGGCGTCGGATTCACCTGCCTTGGTATTTAGCAGCTTGTCGCGAAGAATGTAACAGGTTATTAAAAGACAGCTCATTCCATCGTCCGTATCTCCCAGTGACCTGGTAGGATGGGGGAGCATGGGAGAATCAATGGTCTGATAGAATGAGAGCTGTTCGTCAGGGACTGCCCAAAACACGCTGGAGCTTAGAAGCCAGTAGTGCACAACCACTAGAGTAATATCACAGACAGGTTGCTGATTTGCTTACTAGAAGAACTACGGGGACCCCACAGCGCCACAATATCTGCTACCCCCTCCTCCACAGGGATATTGCTGACAGCTAGAGCGTTCCTTGACCGGACGGTGGGCGAGTGATATTGTTCCTGGTTGAAGGTTGTGGCTCTTTCTGGGGTGGTGTGTCCATCTGTCAACACGGATGAATGAAGCTCAAGTAGTACATCTTGGCAAGTATGCTCTTGTGAAGGTATGGAGAGGATGAGATGTTGTGTCGTTATTACTAAACCAGAAAGGTAGTCACCCCAATAGCGCGTGGAATATCATGTGAGTAGCTACCATGTTGACATCAAAGGGCGTGGTCTAGACAGTTTCCTGTGAGGGCGCGGCTTGTGCCCTAGCCAGCTCGTGCCTACACTTCTCTACAGTGGAAAGAAAATGGTCTGCTGGAGAACTGGAATGGCATATAGCTCATGGCCGGCAAGTCGGAAGGACCGGGGAACCAGCCGAGCCCGATGAATCTGATACAAGGATATTGCGAAAAAAAAAAAAAAAAAAAAAAGAAAAAAAGGTCAACTGCAAGGACACAAAGGGAAGAACGAACGGGGTTTCTAGCGCTGCAAGTCGAAATATTTGACCATAACAGAGAAGGGTCCTCCCTGAGAACTGTGTATCCAAAGAAATCCTCAAGATCTCTGATGCATTTGTGGGAGATTCTCCCCTGGGTCGAGATATCGGCTGGCTTGCTGCGTCTGGGGGTTCTTCTCCCTCGACCGATGAAACTGTGCAGTCTCCGATTTCACAAAGGCAGACATGCACAGAAAGGGTATCACTTTTTCCTCCCGAGAGCTGTCTCAGACACCTCAAAATAAAACTCCAGGCCATGACCTCCCATTGCGTGAAAACCATCAGCCCCCCTTACCACCCCAAAGAAACATAGTTTCCCCATTAAAGGATGCACTTTTACCACATTTCCACACTACATATTTGCCCAAGTTCCACCACGTCTACCGAGGTTGAGGTGAACAAACCTAGGCAAGCTTAGGCAGTACACTCAATTCAGGGCCCACTCGAGACACGATGGAATTTGATGGACAGGTCATCTTCCCATGCACAATGCAGATGGCGGCACAATGGATGTATCCCTCGCGGAGGGCACACAACGGTTATCTCAGTCGAGGTGTGCGATCATTTCCTCCTTGGCAAGGGGTTTGAAAGTGTCGAGACCGAGGCCGCGAGCCTCGAGTGCTGGGCGAGCGTGAGGGGGAATCAGCTGGTTGTTGAGTTCAGGGGCAATGGAAAGTTCTATCGCATCATTAGTATATTAATTTTGTTGGACTTTGTTGCCAAGTTGACTGTCATACCATGTCGTGAGAAGTCGAACAGTGCGGGCAGGTCCTTGGAGGGGTTGTTGTGGTGGCGGGAATCCGGTAGCCGGGTGTTCGGGTCGCGGAGCTCATCGAAGAAGGGGTGGCACATAGCCTCAACCGCCGACAACCGTTGCGTCGGAGTGTATTCCAGAAGGGCAGAGATGAGGTCGATAGCCTCCGGGGGTGCCTTTCGGAAAACCTTAAATGGCGTCAGTACCATCGCACAGACCAAGTACGGGCGGAAAATACCTTGTTGAAGGGATGAGGTTTGATCTGAGGGAACTTGTGCTCCATATAATTGGGGTTCATGGTGCGGATCTGTTCCCGGGTGGGTGTGCCCAAGACCTTGATGATTTCCACGAGCTGGTCAATGCCTGATTCACCAGGGAAGAGGGGTTGCCCCAGCATCAACTCTGCCATCACACAACCAGTCGACCAGACATCTAATAAAGAAAGAAAAACGCACGTTAGATGATAATAAATAAAATTGGGGGGATGAAAAAAGGAATATGTACCGATCTTTGTTGTGTAGTTGGTTGCACCAAAGATCAACTCAGGCGCCCGGTAGTAGCGAGAGCAAATGTAAGAAACGTTAGGCTCATTCTCGATCAGAATCTTGGCGGAACCGAAATCGCAAAGCTTGAGGATACCAGTGTTGGGATCCAGAAGCAAGTTTTGGGGCTTAATGTCACGATGGCAGATACCCTGGGAGTGGATGTATGCCAGCGACCGGAACAGTTGGTAGATGTACAGCTTCACCTCCAGCATGGGCATCGTAGACTTGAGCTTGTTGAAGTAACGCGATGCGCGGTAGACGGTCTCTGGGACATACTCGAGGACAAGGTTGAGGTAGACTTCATCTTTCTGTTGAAGGAGGGGGGAAAATCGGTCAGCCCACGGAAACGGGGACACTATGGGGGTCCACAACATACCCTGTCGCCGTTGGAGTAGTAGAAGGCCTTGAGTTCGACGATGTTGGGGTGGCGCACAATCCGCATAATCTGCAGCTCACGGTTCTAAGAATGAAATGGGTTAGTGACAGTGAAACGGAAGCTGTTCCACGATGCCGTACCTTGAAGCGCTTATCCTGGAGGACTCTCTTGATGGCAGCATCTTCGCCGCTGGGAGCCATCTTGGTCTGGAACACGACGCCGAAGGAGCCATTGCCGACAATCTTACACTGTGTGTAGGAGATCTCTTTGGCTTCACCGGTCAGTCCATCCTGGACCTTCTCCTTGATGACCTCTGCGAGGACGGTTAGCTATGGCCATTGAGCAGCGACGAGGAGACCTTACCACCCATGCGCAAGCTCGGGAACAGCCCGGGCCGACTTTGTGACATCACGAGAAGATGGGAGGGGAGGGGGTTTGAAGGTTGTAAAGGTCAAGAAGGGCCGTTTTGGGGAGGGGAGAGGGGGAGTGGAGTCGAGAGGGGCGGGCAAGAGGGAAAAAGGCCAAGAATGTTGTAGAGGAAGAAGAAGAATGAGGGAAAGAGGTGGACAAATGGTAGGAGAATGATTAACCAATAAGAGGGAACTGACGGAAGGAGTAAAATTGCGGGTTGAACGTTTCCCCTGGGGTATTAACCAGATGCCCACCAACTGAACCACCAAAAATTGGCAAAGAAAAGATGATGTCGGGTGACCAACTGTGATTTTCTCTGGAACTCTTCTGATTGGTCAAATCGACTTATTCGTCTCGTGACGTGGTGACGCTTGGACCAACCATACCATACCATACGGTTACCGTATGGTAAGTATCTCACCTACATATTTACTTCCCATCTACAGCTAGACTCAACATACTTCAGATAAGTTAACTTCAGATACGTAGGAGCTGACTCTCGGCCCGATGAACTTCGGATTCCCGGCTTCTTCAGGGGTCCCTTGGTATGTCCCTCTAACCCAATGTCAGGGGAATACATATTCAAGGGGAACCTAGCTATGTATATCCCAAGAATGTCAGTCTCACAAGCAAGTACCCGACTCGTCAGGTACCAGATCCTGGCCTAAGGCTGCGGCCCAGCCGTTTCCTGAACTTGGCCCTTGCGCAGTAGATGCACCTGGCTCAAAAGGTTAACGTTGAGGTTGAGAGCCAAGCTTGGTATGGTATTGTTTCGATGACAATACAGTATCCTGGATATAAGATGGCGATCAACATGTCGACGTTGACTCCATTATCTTAACTTATACTTAAACTTATACCTATACCTTATATATATTCATTCTAACTACCTTGTAGACATCCCAATTGACACTACATCCCATGCTTGCAGTAAGCTATGACATCACCAGATTTTACTCTCACCTGACCCGATGAGGGGCTGTGGCATCGGAATCGCCACAGCTCAAGCTGTCATGCGACTTAAACCTTGCCTCTAACCCTCACGGGACAAATGACGCCTCAAAGGTCTGACGAGTTGAATTGACCAAGGAATCGAAACCCATGCTGTCATATCCAGGACCATGCACCAAGTACCACCAAGACTACATTAATCGGGATTCCGAAGGGCTGCTCGGGTCTCGGCAATGAAGCTACAATATGCTCAGTCGATTGCCGAGTTCTATACTATTTCACTATCTCACTAGTGTAGACATGAACACATCCAACATCTACATATATATCCAATCTGCTGTATACTGTATGCAGCAAAGTGATAGCTCAGTCTTACATAGCCGTAGTACCGACGCGGTACGAGGCCCAGGATGCGGTGCCGAAAATGGTTCCTGGTCCAAAAGCCCATCCCGTTGGCATTGGCATGATGTTTAAAATATGCATATGCAAAAGGAATGTCTAATCCGGCATGGATGGAAGCAAGGAACGACATTTCTCTGTCAGACACGTGGGCTATTAAGCTCCCAAACAACTATGCTACACTTGTACCTGTACGGCCTTCCCGAGGAATTCGGGAATGCAGCAGATATGCGAATCACGTCGAGTCTATTGGCTATACTGGATTGAAATCGAGTTTCCCATGCCATTTCCACGCTAGATCTGCCATAACCAAATCTAAAACATAATAGGTATACAGAAATACAATACTACGCAAATACCGGAAGCGAAAATGAGCCGTTTGACCCCACACACTCTCGGGCCCCTTAGGGAAATGAACTCGGGAATAAGTTGAACACTACTCTTCCAGGTAACTCCATAAGCGAACAGGGAACATGATGTCACAGTGGAAACTGATAGACCATACATGTCCCAAGTACGAACCCAAAGCGCGGGACTCCCAATGCCCAGCCCAGACCCAGCCACACCAGAAGCAGCGACTTCTGCAACTAATGCAAGGCCAAGGTTGAGGTTGAGGGGCCATGGATGGAGTTGGTGGCTGACCCCAACATCTCTCTGGACCTTTTGTCTCGCTCTGTTTTGCCATACCGTGTACAGTGGTATGCTGTGGGACTATAAAACCCATTTTACCGAGAAACTTCAATAGTGGGGAAAGAGATGGGTAGAAGAAGATGCATAAGACTGGAGCCTTTCGTTGGGTACGTTTCTCCAGTGTCCACCAGGGTGGAACTCGATTTGAGGCATATCTTGCCCTGTCACCGCTTTGGGTTATGCAGGCAATTTCTTTGTCCGCCTTAGGATGTATCAGATGTGCGTAGACCAGTAGACATGGTCTGGCTTTTGTATTGACTGTGAAGGATTCGGCTTTGATGCAGGTTGCATCTATTCTTGCACTATATGATAATCACAGAATTGAAAGGAGTGAAGATTTAATTCCTGACTTAATATTTTAGTTCTGTTGGCAATATAAACGCATCCTTGTATAACGATTCATGTATAACATAGATTACAATAGATTCAGGTTTCAAAACTTGTTTTACATTGGCCCGTCTATGATGCGAAAACATACCAGAGCTCTCCGCAGGCGCGGCCATGCCTCACTATCCCAAGACCCAAAACACGGCCATTGCACGAAATGAACTGGGGAAGACAGACCGCTCCAAGCAGTCAGAGATGCAGCACCGGGTGAAATCAAAGAAACGCAGTGTGAATCTATACAAAAAATATTTGAATCTCCAAGGCGCCAAACAACGGCCTGCACCAGTAACCCAGATTCAAAGGATATACCGAAGAGACATCATATGTCGTTCCAGACGATGGAGAGGAAGAACTACTAAAACAGGGGGGCGAAAGAGTTATTATCTCGAGGGGTTAGAAAGAGGAGATGGCTCCTTAGAAGGGAGGAGGGATCATGGCGGCGGGGTCAGCCTTCTCCTGCTGCTCCATCAGGTCCTCGCCAGCAAGCTCCAGGGAAACAGCGAGACCGAGCTTGGCGGTTTGCTAGAACAACAAGTTAGCATGAGGTTGCTGAACAGGGATACAAATTTCAAGCTTACCTTAGGGTGATCAATCTCTCCAGCGAAGGAGAGAGAGAGAGGCATGGCGATGCGCTTCTCGAGGAGACAGCTGACCTTGCCGGCGCTGTCGACCTGGGCACGGAAAGAGGAAGCGCGGAAGTCGTACTTGGCACCAATGGCAGTGGTACCGTCACGGGCAGGGCCGCCCATCATGAGAGCAGCAGGAGTAGGGGCAAGTTGGAGGTTCATGTCAATACCGGCTTCGACGCGCTCGGACAGCTTGCGCCAGTAAGTGGCATTGAAAGTGCCCTGAGCCTGGAGCTGAGCGGTACCGATCCAGTCCTCACCCTTGTACTTGGCAGAGTAGGAAAGAGCAGTCTCAGGGCGAGCGGCGATGCCCTGTCGTTGCCAGATAGCCTCGAATCCGAGGGCAAGGCCGGGGGTGATGGACTGCAGGTAGCTGCCGACGAAGATACCGGTCAGACCGCCCTCGAGGCAAGACGGATTGAAGGCCTTGAGGGAAGCAGAGAAGTCGCGACCAGTGTAGTCGTTGTCGATCTGAATCAAACCTTGGGCACCACCGTTCATGACCTGAGCGTTGGTCTTGGTGACAAGAGCCTGGTTCCAGCGGTAGTTGGCGACGGCGGCGAGGGAGCCGTCACTGCCGAAGTTGCCCTGCATGAAAACCTATTGGGAAATTTATCATTAGGTACTGAGACTACGGTTTCTCCGAAGCAAAGATATCATCAAATTCTTACCCTGGGGTTTCCGAACATGGCAGAGAAAGCGTAGGGAGGCAGGTTGCCGGAGCCGCCCATGGAGAACGCGTGTGAAATTCGGAACAGAGGGGACATGCCGAAGACCTTGGTCAAGTCTGCGCGGAGACCGGAGAACATGAAGTTGGTCAACAAAACATCCTTCTGCACCTCGCGAGCGAGGTTATCGACCGTGCCGGGGTTGGGCAAGTTGAGCATTGCCCTGCGATCGGAGAAGGAGTTGTAGGCATCGCTGAGGGCTGCAGCGGCAGGGTTGTCTGTGACAAAGGCTAGGGATGATGTGAAGTCGGCCATTTTGGAGAAATGTGATAATCGTTGACAAGGATATTAGGTGTCGTCACGCGAGGTCTGTCAAGACTCGAGGGAGGGAATTGGGAGGAAAAAAAGGATTGAGACCAGCCCGAGGATCTGGGACGAACAAACGTCTCAGATGACCTTGATAAAATAGCTGTAAAGGGCTGTGTCTGATGCGCTCAGGAGATAGTAAGGGAAGCAATTCAAGACTTTCAAAGCTGTGAAAAATGCATGTCACCTGTTGCGTCTTTGGTCTCTGTCGTCCACCGTCAACTCGGGCCTTCCCGGTTCATTCCAGAGTAAGTTACAGAGAATAACTTACATGTACAGGGGTATGAGATCAAGTTCTGTATGATTGATCTTATTTTCTGGAGAAAGGAATTTGAGTCGGATTGTTGGGTTGGCAGTTTGCATATTGCAACCTCAAAGACAAAGCCAACAAGCATATTGTCCCAGTTCACCGGGCTCCACCTCATACTCGATCGATTGCCTATACCGCCTCTTGTCGTCTCTTGATCCTTGCTTTCTCTTTCTTCTTGAGGGGCTCGATCTCTCATATCTCTTGAGTCACTTACCGTCCTAGGACATTGAGTACTTAACTTTGTGATCTTCCTTCACCTCATCCCACCATGGACACGTTACTGTAAGTTTGCCCCCCACCATGTCTGCATGGAACTTGTTTGATGCATATGCTCTTGCCTACCCTCAAGGCTACGGACATGAACGTTGCACTCACCATTTGCCATTGTTGGAGAAGTTGAATCTTGAGCGAAGCTTCCCAGCTTGTTTATTGGACCGGGACTGACATCGTACAGCACTGCTGAGATCGTGGCCAACTCCCCACAGTTTCGACGCAAGTCCTCCATTTTTGTCGATGCTATCCATGACCTGCCAGAAAAGGCAGATCTTGCGCCGGCCCAGCTGTACAGCACAGAATCTGGTCGACTTTTCCACTCGGGTCGCATTGTGATCATTACTGTCGGCTTACCCGCAAGAGGTAAAACGTATGACGATGGTCCCAATTGCGATTGGCCTTGTTCAAGGAACTAATACCTCGTAGACATATCTCCGTAGCTTTGGCTCGGTATCTGCGATGGTACGTTTTAATCCTGCCCATTTGGATATTACCAAAACATGCTGATGTAAATGATAGGCTTGGTGTCAAGACCCGAATCTTCCATTTGGGTGACT